TAAATAAAAAAAGTTAATCTCATTTGTACTTAGTTTTTTTTAAAATTATTTTTTCCAAATAAATTGAGATACATTTCAAGGGTAAAACTTATTTAAGGTAAAATAATTAAATTTGAAATCGTTTGATTAATAGTTTAAATCTTAGCACAAGAGCAACCACTTTAATTTATATTTTCTTATTTTATCAGAGTTTAGTGTTGTTAAACGGCTCGTTTTGAGCCGATTTTAAAAAACGATTAACTCAATACTTCACTTAGAAAAATATTACGCAAGCCTGAAGATTTTGCTCATAGAAGGAACAAAGGTCCATATAGATATTATCGAAATCTCAAGGCTTAGGCTATATTTTTCTGGCTAAAATATTGAGTTAGCCGTTTTTAAAAATCGGCTCAAAACAAGCTGTAACAACACTAGTTTAAAGGGTTAGAAATAATAAATAAATATGTAAAAATGTTTTGAATTTAAATTTTTTATATGATGATAAACATTTATACAATATTTTTATATAGTCTGATTTATATAATTAGTATTATTGATAAAAATTGAAGTATTTTATAATTTAAAGTTTAAAAAATATAAATAATAAAAGGTATTTAAAATAAAGCTAGCCGTTATTTTATAGATAATTGAATCAAAAAGAAGAAAGAAGTTATATAATAGGAATATTAATAAAATAAAATATCATATATTTGTTTATTAAATAGTAATATATTTAAATTTTATATCATGCACTCATTAAATTATCTTTATTTTAATATTCTAATATGTAAGAAACTTATTTTATAGCTATTCAGATTTGACCTTACTTTTTATTTTATATTTTGTTCAACCTTTATTAAAATATTATTTTATATATAGTGTTAATACTTACAAGAAAAATAGTTATAATTTATTTTCCTAAAAAGATACAAAAACTATGGGTTTTGGCAACCAAACCATTTGATAGTATATACATAGATTATGCAGGTCAGTTTTTCACAAAAAATTGGTTGATAATAGTCCATGCCTATAGCAAATTTCCAATTATTGTTCCTATCAAAAATATTACTACCGATATCCCATTAAAATAAATTTTTAAAACCATTTCGTTATATGGAATACCTGAAACTATAGTTACTGATAACGGCACTAACTTCTCAAGTAATGATTTTCAAAAATTTTGCTATGACTATGGTATTAAACATGTACTTAAGTCCGCATACCACCAGCAATATAATGGCCAGGTAGAACGTATGGTGAGAACGTTCAAAAAACATATGAAAAGAAATATATAGATTGACTTAAATACTGCACTTGACAAATTTTTATTCAATTCTAGAAACACACGAAATATACAACAGGAGTTAACACCTTCAATTTTAACATTTTTTTGGCAGCCCCGTTATTTTATTAATTTTTATTTAAAATAATTTTTTTGTTTTTAAATCTTAACATTACCAGCAATAGAAGCTTTAATGTAGGAGATTTTGTTTGATACAAAATACAAGATGAGGACAAATGGTGGAATGGTATGGAACACAAAGAAAGTGACATGATGTTCCAAATTAGACAGACTAGGGTGTATTAAGGAGACACTTAGATCAATTAAAAATAAGAGATTTTAACACATTTATAAATTATGATTCTAACTTTAAAAATTCTTTTTGGAAGTGTGGACAAAAATAAAAATTAATTAAGATAATCTAACACCGATTTCTATACTACGAATTAAGCAAAACTTATTTAAAAGATTATATAACTTAATATATAAAAATAAAAAAAATAAATATTGGATACTCGAAAAAAAATTTAACGCTAAAAATATTATATAATAATCTTATTGATCTATCATTCCAATATTCAATTAGTCAATTTGATTCATATTCTTACATTATTCCATATTCTATATATTATTCTAAATTTATATATTAATCTGATAATTCACTTCTGATATCCAATTTTATCAATTAATATTCCTAATTATTCACGACTTATTGATGATAGTACCACAAGCAAGCCTATATGACAAAATTGCGATTGATGAAAACAATTTATGATAAGGATAACAAAAACGATTTGGACAAATCAGCGCGCAAACTCAAAGACGATTTTAACAAACCGACGTATAAACTCAAGAAACTATTTGCACAAGCTCTTAATGACAGCTTACATTAAATTAAGAAAGCTTTTTAGAAGAAGGAGAATGTTATATAATAGGAATATTAATAAATTAAAATATTACATATTTGGTTTTTAAATAGTAATATGTTTAAATTTCATTTCACGCACTCACCAAATTATCTTTATTTTTATATTCTAATATTTTTAAGAAACTTATTTTATATGTATTCAGATTTGATTTATCCTTACTTTTTATTTTATATTTTATTTAACCTTTATTCAAATATTATTTTATATATATCGTGTTAATACTAACAAGAAAATTAGTTATAATTTATTTAAGAATAAAATAATATAATTAACCTACCTTGTTTATCTTTTTGCAACAAAAGCAGGGCCGTAATCAGGAATTTTCAGCTAGGTGGCCAGCTGCTTACTTGAGCGGGCCACTATTTTTTTAAAATTAAACAAAAAATTAAGCATTCATAGAAAATCTTTGCTATTTTTATTAAAAATTTATTAACGCAATATGAATACAAAATAATACTATAATATAATATGACGATTTTTATTTTTAAATTTTAACATAAATAAAAGGAGAAATTTTGTGTTATTTTTTTTTCATAAGTTATCAATAATAAATTTTGCTTATGTTTATCTATCGACTCTATATTGCTTGATAGAACTCTCTTTATTGTAGAGAAAGAGGCCATACAAGATGTTGGTACCCTAATGATGATGGCTGCTGAGTAGCATTTATACAATTCTTTAAATGCATAAAGATATTTTTTAATACATAATATTTTGGATATTTTCAAAATTATGTGTTTCTTAAACTTCTGAAACTAATAATTCTTTAGTTATTTTCATTTCATGATGTAAAATTTCCAATTTAAGTTTATGATTCTAATACGGCCATTTTATCCGATATAGAATAATCAGGGTCTAAGTAAAACATGATAGAAGATTATAGTCATCTTGTGTTAATCTATCTAAAAAACGATAAACACAAAGTAATCAATAATTTCGTAATAATTCCTTTATAAAGAAATCCAATTTTGGTTTCGACTAAAAATCTTGAAAATTTATAGGCATTTTACGTAACCTTGATAAATTGTGGAAAGTGAGATTAAATTTTGATCAAGGGCCTTAATTATAATCAAAGATGTATAGGCCCAGCCCTAAGCCGGCCTGGCCGGGCCGTATTTTAATATTTTTAAAATATAACCGGGCCGGGCCATGCCTGAAAAATTTATACAACATGAATTATTATATTCGTCAATTACATATGGTTATAATGATTATATATAGTTATGATTAATATAATGTTTGGTAAAAGTTAACACTAGCTAACACTCATAGTATCTATTACATAATAAAATTCTAGTTTTCCTTCCATGGAATAAATACGCAAAGGATTAAATACATTATTATATAATATATAATATATGTTATATTTTTTATTAAAAATATCATTTTTATTTTTTTTATAAATACATACTATTTATAATATATTAAATATCTGTTTATATAAAAAAAAAAAAAATTAGTGTTGTTAAACGGCTCGTTTTGAGCCGATTTTTAAAAACGGCTAACTAAGTTTTTTATTAGGAAAATAATCATGCAAGCGTGAAAATTTTGCTCATAGAAGGAGCAAAAGTCTAGATATATAGTATCAAAATTTTCAAGGCTTAGTCAATATTTTTCTGGCAAAAATATTGAATTAGCCGTTTTTAAAAATCGGCTTAAAACGAGCCGTTTAACAACATTAGCTAATATACTTGCTTATTAAATGATAATAGTCGACGAAAAATATGATAAAATACGAAATGATGAATTTTTTGAATATACCAGGTCGAATATAATTTTTAAAAGAAAGACAGTGTAAATTAATAATTCTTATTAAATTTTCTTGGACTTCTCCAGGAAAAATATGGCAAATAATTATTCACAGGTTTTTACATCCTTATGCATCTTTTGCATCAGCCTTAACACAAATAAAAAACATTTCACTTTTGTTATATTTATCTGAAATGTATTCAAGCACCATATCTGCCATAATAGATATTACTTCGTTTTGAATTTGGGGTGATGTATTTTGGGCATTTTAGGGTATATATTTAAATATTTTATTTAATTCAGAATCTTTTTGAATGGTGTATGGCTATAAATAGTCCAGAAGAATAAATTATATGCAACATCCGTAATTTTTGTTGAAACAATCCCACGAAAAGGTAGAATCTGTATGCTAAGAAATAGCATCAGATCAAATATTGATTTAAGATAGTAAAAATTATATTATCTCATTTATTTTTAAAAAACTTTAATGTACAGTTATAAAAATAAAACAAAACAATGACGAAAAACTATTTAAAAGAATATTAAAATTAAATTGACTTACTATATTTATATTCTATATAAAAATATAATATTAAAAGAAGAGAAATTAAAAAAATAATTCAAATTATATATTTAGGTTAATTTGGCAGGGCTTAATGATCCATATATGGATATCCAGTTGGATCAACAAATTATTGTATTAAATGATAACAAATTTAGGGAGAAAACGGATTTTGTTATTTGTCTAAATTTTAGATAGGTCAATTAAAAAAACATTCAAAATTAAAGAGATTTTACAAAATTGAGCAAAATCAATTAATTAGTTAAATTAAAATAATAAAATCAAATGAATTCTAAAATATCTTGTTATGCAATGTTTAAACCTGTTAAAAAAAGTTAAATAATAGTAAGTTTTCAAGATTAAGTTAAATCATAATTAAAAAAATATCGTATAGAAGGTCAAAAATGTAATAACCTTGTACATATTTTTTAAAATTAATAATCTTTAAAAATCTTTGAAATTAAGATTTGGCATTTCTTTTATTTTTGAATAAAAATTTTTTAAAAAATTAATAAGTATCATAAAATAATTTTCAATTTGTTTTAATAAAAGATTATAAAATATTTTTTAATAGTAAATTATATTATGATAAGTATGTTAAGGTTCTATAACACGAGGATATATCTTGTAGCGATAAATATCTATGTGATTTTGTGGACTTGTTATGGAGAAATGGATAACACTGCTCTATTAGAAGGTTAATATTAAAAATAATCTTCTCTAATATTTCCCAGGCTTTTATAATGTAAAATAAATTAAAAAATCATTAATTAATTGAAATTCCAGAGTAATTCTATTTATCGTTTTTATAATAAAAGACAAAACGTTATTTTCCAAATGTATTTATTTATCTAGCTAAGAATTACCATGTTTATAGAAATGAGCTGATAATGTATTTATTTTTGTTAACTAATATTTTTTAAAAAATCCCCATTATTTGGTTATTGCCCTTACTAAAATGATTTTATTTAAAATTAATTCATATATGTATTGTATTTATTTAATACTGATATGGATTAGATTATAAAATAGAAAATAATCATTGTTACCTTTGAAAAATGCAGTTACCAATAAATAAATAATAGTTTTTTTTCGATAAACTCATGACATTTTTAAGTATTTAATAGAAAAAAAATTCGCCCCCACACCTGGAAAAAAATACCACGGGCCACTAATAAATTTTATATGTAATCGGTTAATATGTTTTTTTCTAGTGTTTTTACCAACTTTAAATTATTTTTTGGGTTGTCGTCAATATTGGTATGTAGTCATTGGCCAATATAATTTTAAAAAATTATAACATGGACCATGGGTGAAGCCTAGATATTATTTTAAGACTAATGGTTATTTTGCAGATCCTAATCTTCGCACTATAAAATATATTTAAGCTTTAGAGATGTTATTAATAATTACTCAGCAAATAGATGCAAGTCTAAAAATCTTTATATTATATTAATTTTGATCTGTTACTTTCAGATTTTATAAAATAGCAGCAACGTTTAAAAATAACGTCAATCCACCTAAATTTACAATTAGCAAGAAAATATTACGAAAATTATTTATTTTTATAATAAAATGTAATTTAAAACTTTAAAGGGGTCTTATACAATTATAACAAGATAAAATATTGGAAAAGGGACAAATTTTTAGGATTAATGTTGTTAAATGGCTCGATTGCAGTTAATTAATTTAAATCCACTGGATCACGGGAATTTTTTTAAAGTAAATTATTATAAATAACAAAAAATTTAATACAATAATTAGATTAGATTATTCATTTCCAGGTAGACTTTGATGATTCTGATTACTTTTCAATTTAAAGACTTCTATTATTATTTATCATAATTAATAATTCATCTAACTGCTAGTGCTTATATTATAAATAGATCAAGTTTTATTTATTTATGATTTTTTACAACATCTGAAATATCAAGTTGAAGTTTTTAGTTATCAAAAAACAATCTCAACAGTTACATGACATTATTAAGGTATAATTTATGAACTGTCATCATAGAACAAAATATAGTTTGTCGATGTTTAAAGATAAAGATATTATAATCAATATTGTAGAATATATATCTCAAATACATAAATCCAGGGATGCGAACCCGACAAAATTTTTGCCCGGATTCGGTTCGGGTTCGGTTCGGGTTCGGTTCGGGGTATAAAAAAAGGTGGGTTCGGTTCGGGTTCAAGAATTTTTGAGTTGATAAAAAAAATTCTATATTTAAATCATAATAAAAAACTAGACATAAATTTGATATAAAAAATAAATTTTTTATTTTATTTATAGGCAAATATAGTTAAAAATACAAAGCATATAGTCATGTATCAATTTTAAAAATTTTGTTTAGACGTATTAGCATAATATCTTCCAAGAGTTGGTCACTCATCCTCGATCTATGTGGTGAAAGAATGAATTTCAAATGTGAAAAAGATCTTTCAACGCTAACCTATGTTAAATGTATATTTATATGTGAAAATATGATAAATTAACTTGGGTTGCAGGAACAGCAAATAAGATTTTAGATAAAATATATAATTCAGGGTGTTCCAGCTTAGCAGACTCCCAAAAATGCAAAATATTTTCTTTTTTATCTAATCTTTTATAATCGCTAAATCCAGTAATTATTGTAAGGATTTATATTGTTTATATTTAAATATTCCATAAAATAACAATTTTAATATAAATCTAAAATAATTAATTTACTAAGCTTTTAATTAACCTTGTATCTTGGGTCCAGGTATATGGCACCTAAGAGAATTTCGTTCTTTATAAACCTTTCTTCTCTGTTCTTAAGACAAGAATATAGTAATTGAGCAAAATGGTATGGATTTTTTTCCAGTTCGATGCAGCATCTTAACCATGCTGCATAAAAATCTGTCAGTGTTAACTGTTCAGATTGGAATTGTTTGGTTGCGATTTTTAGCGGTTTTAAAATTTCAACAATCGTTATTATCTCTTTCCAATCTTCAGTCAATAAATAATCAGATTGCTCTGAAAAAAAATCTTCGATATTGGGTATTAGTAAAATCAGCCTTTCTAACATATCATGGGTTGAATGCCATCTGTGGCAATCTAACACAGGCTTAAGGAGTTTCATATTTTTTAATAACTTTTGGTAAGTGGGATGTCTTAATTTTAAATTTAGGATCCTAGCTTTGGTGATAATTTTATAGCATCTTGAAGTGCCAGCTGAAGTGTGTGAGCTGCACACCGTACACTATAAATCGGATAGGATATAATAGTTGATAAAAAAGTATTTTGTATATCATCAATATCATATTTATATACATTTACATTCATATTTTCCTCATCTGCTGATTCACTCCTTATATCATAATCAGTTTCAAGTTGCAGGAGCTTTATAGCTCTTAAAAAATTACAACCAATCAGAAGTAATTGTGTATATTTGTTGAATATTAATTTTAAATTTTAGTAAAGTTTTTAATATATTCTCTTTTATATATTCTCCTGTACATCTCTCTTTCAGCTCTACAATTCCAAGAGTCCTCAAATTTATAATGGACTTTGATATAAATTGAATATTTACACCAAGAATTGACCTATCTAGTCGTTGAACTGCATCAACTTTTAAACTTATTAATTTTCCTTCTACCTCTCTCGATATTTTGTCTCTAATTGATTGGGCTGTTTTATTAATAGTTCTGGATAAATTTTTTTTGTTTATAACCAAATTGAGCCCAGATAGGAGTGGATTTATAATTCTTTGAAATCCCGAATCTTCAATAATTGATAAAGGCCGGCCATTTACAGTAACAAGTTCTAGTATAGAACTCATCAAATCATTAGATGATATATTTATACTTATATGCTTTTTTGGAAAAAAGGTTTCTATATTAATTTTAGGTTTTTTTGCCAATAAAAATTCCTGATATTTGGTTTTTTCATTTAAATAATTTAAATATTCATTGTTGTGATTTCTTTCCAGGTGTCTTTCTAAATTTGACAAGTGATTACCAGACATTTTTACTTTGCAATATGAACATATTATTTTTTTTCTATTGCATTAAGGGTAAAATGCTTATCAAATATGACTTTATCTTTAATCTTAAATCTATAAAAAGAGAACAATTTTTTTAAATAGCAATGATTTCAGAATTAAAAAAGAGATATTTATAAATTTAATTTCATTTATAATATGCACTTCATTAATATCTTGTAAAAATTAATCTGAACCAAAAATAAATGATTAGCATATATAAATTTTAAAATCATTTTAATAAGTTCACAAAAACTGCTCTACATTTAACAATTTTTAAGTTAGATGTTTAGAATTTTTTAAATTAACAATATAATAATTTTTACTTTGATTTGTTAACCATTTTCTTCTAATTAATAATCTTTAAGAATAATAAGATAAAAATTTAAAAATAAATGGCGTAAATTAATTCAATTGTTTAATTTTTTAACACTCCAATAGGAATCGAGAATAAATTAAAAAATGGCATAAATGAATTAAGTTGTTTAAAATTTATTAACACTTCATTTAATTGGAAATTTGAAAATATAATATTTGTATTTACATATATTATTATATGATTTTAAATAATACACTGAACCCGGTTGAACCCGGGTTCAAATAAAATTCTTGGGTTCGGTTGGGGGTTTTGAAAATTTTATAAATGGGGTTCAGGTTCGGTTCGGGTTCAGAGTTTTTTTCTAAAAACCCGGGTTCACTTCTCCGGGTTCGGGTTCGGTTCGAATCCCTGCATAAATCACTTTTATTAAATTTATTATTTCGCTTCTATAAAAATACAAATAACATGATGAGTAATTGGAATTTAACTTTCTTGAATGCGTAAATCAGAAATTAGCCTATCTTGAGGTGTGAATCAGAAACTTAATTTATTTTTATGATATTTAATATTTTTTTAAAAAATTTTAAGAATATTTATAAATTTAAAAATTATCTTCTACCATAGCGAATTCCCATGTTGGTTTATGAAGATTGAATTCAAGATAGAAATTGACAATATAATTTTAGTGAAAATATATAAATTCACAATTTATTTTAAAGCATAACCATAAAAATTATTTTTTTTAAAAGGTGTAAAGGTAGGAGGTAGAGGACTTTCCAAAACTTTTGAGGTTAACGATACAATAATCCAAAGATTGGTTCGAGGAATGCCTTATACAATTTTGATGAATGTCGTTTCTAAACTTGGCAATTTTGATTACAATAAAACAGTTAGAATAATACAAAATTTACACTTTTATTAATTAAACTTAGAAAAGTAGATTGATATAAAGCTAAAAAAAGAAGGCAGGAAAAAAATATACTAGGAAATTAAAGAAATAAAGGATTAAAACTAGATGTAAATAAATAAAAAATGTATGAATTTCAAGGTCAATAATACGAATACAATAGGACTTCATTTTCCATGTGATTTCAACTCTTACAACATTTCGTTCTATTTGACGTGCTCCAACTTGGTGAATTTGTCTCTAATAGCATTCGCCTATTTGAAATTTGGTAATTATTTAGAATTATATAATAATTATTATTATTGATACTATGAATTAAAAAGAAATATTAACATTTTTCAACATTAATTAATTCAATCACATTATTTATTTGGTTAATAGTTGAGCCTGCTGCTAAGATATTAGCACACTAAATTTAAATTTTTAGTAGCTTACAATACTTATAACGCCTTTTTATAAATAAAATAATGTAAATTGGTTTTCTATATTATTGCTGTTCTCAATTTTCCAAGGCACCTTAAATTTAAAATAAATGAAAATTTTTTATAATAAAGGTCAATTTTATCGGCCTAATACCTTTGTCTAATTGTCTTCCAGTTTCTTGAGATTTTCTGTATTAAATTTTGGGCACGATCCAGTAGATGAATCTTAGCAATTAGTTTTATAGAAATCTTGAAAATAAATAAATAAGATAAATATATTTTATTATGTGAAAAATTAACATATTCCCTATTTCCAACTTTCTTATTGAAATTATAGAATTAATAAAAAACTCTTATAAATAATTGTATCAAGCCAATACTATGACAATGCAACGAAATTTAAAAAGTTCGTCAAAATTCGATGGGTACATAAAAAAATTTAGGATGGAATATAGCGATACATTTGCTTTAGCTATTTTGAAATTAAAGATACCTTCAAAATGTTGGTGCTTTAATTTTTATTTCTATAAAAATAACCTGTCATCTTCTCTTCTCTCCTCTTAAAGAAAAAAAAGTAAAATGAAAGAAAAATAATGAATTCTGCAATGACTTAATAAATTTTTTTGGCGATAAAATTGACTATTTTATAAATATATATTATATATAATAATAATAAGTATTATTTTCTAACAAAAGATTGAAAGAAATGGTAGAAATTTATCGTTTTCCAATATTATATAATAGAACTCTATCAAATCTTTATTTGGTTGGAAATTAATCATCCTGATGTTTTCGAGCTGCATCATTATTGACAAATTTTTTGATTTATATTTATAAATATTTGAACTGTGATAAAGTAGAAACAATATATTATATACCGAAAATAAAACAACTCATTCAATTTTTTAAAATTATCTCTAAATTATAATAATACCCTTTTATTTTTTATAGAAATTTGTATTTAAATTTTGTAATTTATAATAATTAAATCTATTAGTATAATATATAATATTAGAATTAAAATTTATTTATAATATTAATATATACACTTATATTTTTTAGATTACAGTATATCAAAAATTGGTAATCTTTTATTTTATTTTATTTTTACTTTATTTTTTTTTATTCATTTCTTTCTTACCCTGATTAAATATTGCATTTGAAATATATAATGAAAACCTCTAAATCACCTTAATGTCAGACTTATATAGTTTACTTTATGAAGTACTTTTGCGATATTATAATTGATTAATTTTCATTATAATCTTTAAATATAAATTAAAAATAATTATTTAAATAATATAATTTAAGAATGTAAAATTTCTTAAATTTGGCATAATTTTTAGAGAAAAATGTCAGAATTTAGGAATATTTATAAAAATGCTAAAGATTTTTTAATTTTTTTGCAAAAATTAATAATTAGAATTTTAACTGTATTGGAAAATGTAATATATATTTATTGAAATCATATTCAATTCAATGATTTGAACTACATCAATAATTATATTAGTGAAATACCTTTGAAAAGTTATTAATTATTTACAAATGACAGCCTTGAAAAGTTTTTTCATAACTAAATTCTAAAAAGTAACCAATTAAAGTTACTAGAAAGGAAACTACTTACATTATACAAAATTTAAGTTTGAATAACCAGTTATCCAAAATAATTTTGCCTTACAAATTTTGTTCAGAGTTATTTAAAAAACATTTGAATGTTTACGGGCGAAAATTATTAGATTTTAGTTATTAAGATTTTATACATATGAATTACATTTCTAGTCATTATCATATTTTTTAAATTTAAAATTTTCCTCAGTAAATAATGCATTGAGAGTTCGGATTCCCCATGGATTCCATACCTAAATACAACATATACATTATTATTATAATTTAAAAAAATAAGGGTGGTAAAAAAAATGTTTAAAATTGATACATAAAATATATTAAAAATGATTACACGAAAAAAAAATTCTCAAAAAAGTTTTTCCAATAATGAAAATAAATAGAAAAAGAAAAACAATTTCTTGAATATCTAAATTCTAAATAAAAAAAATAGTTGGGTTTGAGGTTAGGTTTTAGTTAATGTCAGGTTCAAAGTATATTGTCAAAAATATTATTTGCAAAGCCAAACAATCTTTCGACGCAATACTAGATCCTAATTCTGCAAAAAAAATTTAAATTGAAAATAATAAATGAAAACATTTTAAAATTAAATAAAATAAAAATAATCAAAATTTTAAAAGCAATAATTAACTCTTTTCAAAATTGATGTTTAATATTTTAAGTTTTTGCTGGAATAAATAAGCTCTTTAGACTAATAAATATTTTATTGGATATTGATGTAAATGGAACATTACATTTAAAATATTATTTTAAATTTAATAAAAAGTAATTTTTAAATTTAGAAATCATCATTTATAATGTAAATATTTTAAAAAATAACTAGTTACATTGTTCGTTACAATCCAAAAATAATTTTTCTATTCTTATAAAATAAATTAATTAATCAAGCTTATATAGGTGTTTCAATGATCTATGTACATCATGCATTAAATTAAACAAAAAATAAAATATTAATTTATTTCATTTTATTGATATATTATGTGAAATGCCGGAAATTCCCCAAAAATTTAAATTTTCTAGATAAATATATAGAAATTTTTTTTAATGAGAATAAAGGTAAATGTTCTTTTATTAAAAAAACTCTATTCTTACCTAACTTTCACGTAGAAAGGATTAGTTATCACAAAGAAACTCCATCTCTTGTACATTTCAATTTCTCCGTACCTTTCGAGCATATGGTCCAAACCTTTAGGATGAAACTATTAGCAATCACAACATACAATGAAACAAGGGAATTAGTAGAATTTAAAGAAGTAAGTTAAATAAATAAAAATATTTTTGGCAATTGAATTAACTTTATAATGTTACCTTGCTTTCTCAACATTAAAAATCACATTAATTAAAAAATATTGAACCATTATTATTTTGATATGAAAAGTGAATCAGTGATATTGTTCAGACAAAAATATTAAATCCTTTTTGTTCAAAAGGATTTTAATTTTATCAAAGTGAATTTATTTATTCTAACTCAAAAATTTTTAAAATATTAAGTTGAACACTCCAATTCTGAACTATATATAAAAAATGTAGATACAGTATATTAATTTGCATTTATTTATGAATTAGATTGATTAATAGCTATTTTTCAAACTTTCTATTATATTTAGAGAACTATTATCAAATTTGTTTATCTTTGCTAAATTTGTTCATTTGCAATTAAATTTATTCATCTAATTAAATGTTTGCCCATTAGGATTTAAATCTGAACTTTAGCAATTAAATTTACTCATTTGCAATTAAAATTTATCTTATTTCCCGTTAAAAGCTGGAGAAATTCAGAATTTAGAATTATAACAAATATTATGTCAATAAAAAAATAATGGTTCATGATTCAAATGATATCGTCTTGGTTTTAATCTTTAATATATGTATACCCTTAAACATTATGAATAATAGAAATGTATTTGTTATTTAAAACATTTTTTACTGTAACATTAGATCATGTTGGAAAATTATGCTTTAGTATTAAATTTTCAATTATTCTAAATATCTTTAAAAAATTATAATATCAGTTTGGTTTGTGTTATAAGATGTTTGAAAATTATTTTAAATAAACAATAACCTAAAATAATAATAAAATCTTAAATTAAGTACTTTAATAATCAATCAAATCTCTATATATTATATTATATAACTAAATTAAATGTCAAAAATATAATCTAATAAAAAATTATAAAATGAAAATATTCGACTTAAGAAAAAAAATTAAACCGAAAAACTAAAATAAAAAAAATCTTTTAAAATGGAAAAATAAAATAGAAATAGAGAATTGAAGAAAAATGAAAGGGAAAATAAAGAAATTATTTGTAACTTGAAAGAAAAATCATAAATAAGAAGAAATAAAAATTAAGAAAAGATGACAATTATAAATTAAAAATGAGTTAAAGATACCTCCAAAAGTTAGAAATAAAATATGAAGAAAATTAAAATAATCAAAAATTTAAGAAAATATTATTGAAAAGGATTATAATAATGACAATTTTTTTTAAAAAATATATAAAAATAATACGATTTTCCTTCATTTTATGGGAATTTCCTACTTTTCTGTATTTTATTGACACTTTCCTTTTTTGATGGATCTTTTTACCTTTTAGATTGGGGATTTTTTTTATGGGGAAACTTGGACTTGGCCTGGAAAATTTTTGACAAAAGAAAAATTTCTGGCGTCTGTCTATAATTATTTTATATATTATATTTATGGTTATAAACTATATTATTTTTGTTTTTCCCCATATTATTAAGTTCACCAATTTACCGTTAGAATATCATTTCAAATCAAAGGGTATTTACAAGCTGAGCTTCCAGTTTAAGATATGCGATGTGTGGTTGGACACTATTGAAAAAATTAAACATGTCAAAATAAGTATTACAATTTTTTTTACATCATTATTTTGATTTTTAGTGAGAAGATTATATAATCTAACGAATTCAATTTATTTTCTTTCATAATTAATAAGTCCTATTTTAATCATTTTTTTTGTCTTTCAAACTAAAAGAAAAGGATTTTAATGAATACGGGATGGATAACATTTTTGGATCGTAGGGTTTATAAGATAAATGGACAAAATGTTTTTTTTTATAGAAAACATTAATTAAATTTAAAAAATAAGATAAAATATGATAAATTGATAAACTGTCTATTTATTTAGTTGACAATAAAATATTTCCCTTTTATATTTTCTCATATCGATTTACATTATTGTAAAATATATTTTAATAATAGTTAATTAAATTATATGTTTTTCTTATAAAAAAATAATTTATCTAGATGACAGACCTCTCAATAAATACTATGGTAAACTCTTATTTTTTTAAAAAATTTATTTTTAAAAAATTATAAGCTATGAACCTTTCAGTTATTATTAATTTACAAAATAAAAAAAAGAAAGAAGAAAAAAAAAATTTTTTTCAATTTTTTCAAAAAGTATTGATTTTGCTTTAACTTTGAATTTAGTTCTTAAAAAATTCAATTTTTTTAATCATTATTATATTTATATATAAATTTAATAATAAATTTCTAAAATTGTAATTAAAATTTAAAAATTATTTCCATAATTTAATAAACTATAGGAGATATAAAATACTGAAAGTTTAGAATAAATGATCCACAAAATAACCAAAGTTAATTAATTTATATTTTTTTAATAAGACATAGTTGTAAAGCAAATTTCAAAAAAGGCAAACTTAAGGTGGGGGGGGGGGGTAAAAAAGATAAAAGACATGGGTATCAAATAAAAGGTAATTAAAATATCTTTTGATTTTAATAATAATTTTCACCCTAAGTTTATATTTTTATTTGATATAAATATCGATATTTTGAGTTGTTAAAAATATTCTTGCCCCCCCCCCCCCCAAGACCTAGACCCGCTTGCTTATAGTAATTATTATTATTATAATAAAAAAAATATTTTAATTACCTTTTATTTGATACCTATATCAAAATAAAAAAATTTTTACCACCCCCATCTTTATCTAACCCATTCTCTTCTCGACCAAGTATACCCATCAAGACCAATAATGAATACTTAGTCAAATAATATTTGAATTAGCTATTATTTGAAACCCATATAGATATTTTGTTTTGATAAAAATATTCTTGACCCACTAGACCTAAACTCGCTCATTATTGGTGAGATGTTGACCCTCTAGTTGATTAGATCTTTTGATTAGCTATCGATTGACACCCTATACTCGACATACTTTTATACGTCCCCCAAAATACTTAGAAAATAAATAACAATAAAATTTTTAAAAAAAACGCGCGTAAAACGCTTTTCAAATTAAGATTCTTCTTTATCATGGTTCAAACTTGACAATACCGTTATAGTTCTTTATCTTTTATAAAATTGAATTCTTAAAGGGATCCCTTAAAACCCCTTGATGATCCCTAATAGTTCTGAACCCTTTAAAGATTTAGACATATATAATACGAATAAAAATTTAAAATAGAATAAACTAAGTAATATATTTTTGACTAAAAACCTATTACTATAATATATCAGGATCGATGGCAAATTATTATATATGAAGAATGAATTATTTATGTATGAAAGTTGAGTCTTGTATAACAATAATTTAAAAAGTGCACAAGACATATTTTAGATAAGTGGAATGCATCATTTGAATGGGGCATTATGGTCTCGGGCCTCACAAAAGTTTTAGAAGAGCTTCTTAGAAATAAATGGAATCAGGAATTTCAAAATAATTGATACATTCTCATTTATAATATTTAATGAATTATGAAACTCGTTTATTTTTTTTAGCAAAATGATTCCATATATCAAAAAAATAATTAATAAATAATGTATACTTTAACTTCTTCATTAATCATTTTTCTAGTTTTTGGGTCTAGAATAAGGTAGGGGTAATATCCTTTCTAATAAAATATTTTGAGATATGTAGTAAATAATAACCAAATAAAATATTATTTTTCTTGTATTTATAACAATTACTCATAATTTTAAGATCAAACAAATAGAAAAATTCTGAATTATGATAATTATCATTTTTTAATTGTATTAATAAAAAAATTAATTGAATATTCCTCCTAGAAATGGGGGGGGGTGTCGGTGGTATGTCTTATTTTAATATAATTTATAAACAATATAATATTAAATGACAATTCATATTAAAATTCAATTTTTTTATTAAATTTCATATACAAATATAAAAAAATATTATAATTTTAAAAATTAACATTATAATATAGAGAATATAATAAAATATGTCATATATCAGTTTAAGTTAAATAAAAAAAAGATTGATACAAATGTATATTTTTATAAAAAGAAGAAAAAACATTTTTTTTTTAAAAATAGAAAAATATCAAATGGCGAGGTCGGGCCATGAACATAATGTTTTAAATATTTGATAATTAGATCTAATTATAGATATAGCGATTTTCTGCTTGAGTTTGTAAAATAGAGAAAGGTATGATTATTTTTATTGATTTGGATATTAATTTGAATGTATCTTGTACAAAAGAGCAGGTTAATGTAGCTGCTATTGGAACAAAGTGGTTATCACACATTAGTTGTAAGTATTTTGTATTTTTTAGATATTCGGTTCTGTTAATGGGATCATCGGAAATATTAGATGTAGCCATGGGATCAATGCCGGTAAAATCCCACATCAAAGCCTTTCCCATGAAAAAAGGAACGACGGTTTTGCCGTCAGGGCGTTTTTTATCTAAAAAGAATGAAGGTTTCTAAATTACAGAGAAAATTGGCTTTATTTTAAAAAGGAAGGGAAGCTATTATTGCATATATTTTATCATGTAGGCTAATTTTTGCTATAAATTTACAGTGGAGAGAGTGTCTCCCATACGCGTCTGCCGATTGATTGCATTTAATGCAAATATAATGGTTTAGGAAAGGTACGCCCAAGCGTAAATTGATTGCATAACGAAAATGGTTATTTAAAATTCTGGGATATGAATCTAACCATTCATGGACAGAGTTGTTGAAATTAAGAAATCTTAGGAGGGTTTGATCATTGAGGTGATCTAAGGAACGAGATACCAATCCTTGATCCCAATCTTTTGTTTCGTTGAATCTGGTGGGGCTGTGTCTGATAAGACATTAATAATCCAACAACGTAAGGCTTCATCTAATAAATTATTTTTATCGATGATAATAATTTGCGCGGTAATATTTTTTGCTGATAAGGTTTGATGAGATGAAAGAAAATAGGGCTATACATAATACCTATCTTAGGACTAGTCCTCCGGATTTACAAGGGAGAGTTGCTTGGTGCCATGAGTTAGAATCGAGTTTGATGTTTAATTACTCTATCATCATTTGTAGTATCTTTTGTTCATATTCTTTTAAAAGAATTTCAAAAGAGAAGGCACTAGAAGTTTTTTTAACATTACTGGATTTGTGGTAAGGGCGTTTTTGAGAATGTAATATGCTTGATAGATGGGTAATTTTTTTAAGATCGATAGTTTGGGGATTAGTTTTTTAAATTATTTCATATAATCCATTTAAATTTGTTTATATTAGTGATTATATAGGAGCCATATCAATATCAAATCCTCAAATTTATAATTTTAATTCTATGGCAATACTTAAAATGTAATTTTAAAATAAATAAAATTTTAAACTAAAGTCGTGTAAAATAGAGAATTATAAGCATTAGTAGATATTCAAGAGTAGGTAACTTCTATTTCTTGTACAATTTATTTTAGAATATTTTAAATTTTTATCTTCATGATGCTAAAATTTGTAATATTTTTTAATTAAAATTTAAAAAAATAACTAAGTTTCCGCACAATATAATAATTATTAACAGATTGCAATTCTATAATATTCGCCAATCTATCGATTTACAATACCAAACGAAGCTTACTCATAATGGTTTTTCCAAAAAGTTTAAAGGGTATGATTTAAAAATGTTCCCGTATATTATATGTTCCTTTTCTTTACAATAAAAATAAATTAATTTTTCTTATGGTTAAAATATTAATTAATTATTTAATATACCATATGACGTATCAAACTCTACATATTATATGATATATGAGAGCAGTGTCTACATGAGCGGGGGGGGGAGGGGGGGGGTAGGAACAGTTTGCATCCTAATATCTATAAAGGAGTAGGGGGTAGGTGGTAGGCATTTTGGGGGGTAGGCTATAATAATCTAGAAAATTTTCCATTACATTTTTAAATTATCTATGGATAACATTTTGGTATTTTTAGGGGGGTAGATATATATTTTTGAGGGGGGTTTGCATCCTGTGAATATACTGTCATGTAAACGCTGTATGAGAGGTTATTGTCATTAAAATTTTTCTATATTGATTTATTTAAAAACTTAGTATTAATAATAAAATATACAGTTATATATTTGCTGACAGCTATGTTTTTTTTATACCCACAAGATGATAATTTTTAAAAAAAATTTTTTTTATTTAAATGGCAGAAATCTTTAAAATTATTAAATAGGAGACCCAAACGTCTATAAGGTTTTCATCTTAGGGCTTCACATTTGGTCAAAAGGAGTATTTCTTTCATATTGTACTATATGTTTATTAGTAGCGATAGATTCATATTCAATTATCATTCAAAAACAATTATTTAGCCCATGTTACTTCAAATTTTTTGATGAAACAAGATTAAAGACTATAAATTATATTTGGTCAGAAGATTTTAGCTCATCTTTTCTAGGATCTAAAATCATTACAGAGGCAATATTTGAACAAATATATGGATTCTATTATAAAATGAATTGAATAATTTTTTTGCATACTTTATGTTTAGAATCATGTAATAAAATTTTTTGACAGCTTACACATAATTTCCAACAATATTTTAAAAGTTAGCTTTTATACAAACTTTATATCAAAATTAGGCATCCATCTATGTTGCTAAAAATATAATATATTTTAAATAGAATCTTTCAAGAATGGGAATATGTCGAAACGTAATTGTAGTTTAATCTTATTTGTGATAGCCTATGATCAAAGTCGAATTATTTTTCTTATATTATGATATGCTATAAAATAAAAAAAAATTTTCGAAAATGTTTAGTTTTGATATTTTAAAAAATCATATAGCACCAAGAAATATAACTTATATGATCACATATAAAACACCTCAAATGAATAGGCCTAAGGGTAAATATATAATCCACCAGGAAACTAGATTTAAAAGTAATATTTTATAATAATAACTTTTATTTTTTTTCATAGTTAGAACTCAAATTTATTCCAATAATCATATTTATTTATTATTCATTTAATATATAGCTTTTTGGGGAAATGATATATGACGTTGGTCTATTTTAAAACGCAATAATACCCCTTTATTTTTTTTATATATTTACATAAAATTAGTCAAATTTATTATATATCATCCCTCCAAGGACGAAATCTCCTAGTTAGATTTAAAAAAGGATGGCCCGTGCTGGATTCGAACCTAGAGTTATCGGATTGTGCTTACCACAGTGATGCGACTAGATCACAGACTCTCGAAGGCAGCCAAATTTTTTATAAATAAGGATAAAATTACAACGCTCTCTAATATTTTAATGATACCCCCCCCCCCCCCAAAAAAAAATAAATCTATAACGTTCAAGGCTATACATCATTATCCCTATTTTCTTATTGACACAATAGTTTTTCAAACTCAGAGTTTGTTTTTTTTCAAAACCATATGTCCTATTCGGATCTAAATCTATTCAATATTGTAAAAAAAACACCATGAAATTGCTAAATGTCAGTATGTGTTTAAATAAAAAAACTATACGACTTAAAAAGAATATATAATATAATATGATATAGGGCCAAGGGATATTCCTAGAGCGAATTTCGGTAAAATTTGATATTATTTAAATGTTGAACAAATTTTATCATGTACTTCTTACTATGAAAAATATAGAAAATTTAGAAGAATTTTTGCAAGGAATAGAAGGTATAAATATATACACCTCTTTTTATAAATTTTTGCTTTGATAATCTAAAGCAATTAACTTATCAACATAAATATATAATAGGTTTTTGAAAAAAGTGTGCTTTGTATTGATGAAATTTATTTTTTAAAAATAAAATATTAGAAATTATAAATTTTTTATTTATTCAAGGAGAGGCTAATGACCATTTCCCTCAAGGTATTATATTTATCATTTTTTACCATTAAAAGAAGGATACATAATATAATTTTATGATTCCCTATTTATATACGCAGTGAATAATCCTGCTTTCATTGAAGGTTTTAATAAATATTTTAATTTTCAAAAAATAGTTATAATTTATATTTGCTTAAAATTTAGATTTTTTGGGACTTGCTCAAGATGTCGGGCTCAATAATGCAATAGGTTTACGGGCGATGTATTTTCTTTTATTTACATTATATCGAATTTAGTTTTAATTCAAGTATTATATTATTCTATATTTTGTTTCTAATAAAAATTAGATATTTTTAAAACTTTAATATATTTTCATTAGACCCCTTTTATTTTTTTGTATATCAAAGACAAAAAATATCTTTAGATATCCAGATCCAATGCAGAAAGATAAATTTTTTGTCAATTTACTGGCATTTAAAATTCCAAAAAACTTAAATAATAATAGCGATTTATTATCTATTTTTAACCCATACATTTTTGAAAAGAAGTTTGTTAAGATAAATCTATATGAATTTCTTCCTCTAGAGTTAGAAATATAATTACATTGAAACCTCTCTAATTTGGGCCTTGGGACCGGGAATTTTGAATTAAGACAGTTGCTCAATTACTTAGTTAAATCTTTAAATGAGATTTTATAGGAAATATATTCAAGCATGTTTATTGTAGGGGAAAAATGGGTTAACGTGGCATGAATTAGCATTTCCAAGAAAATAGATTAAGCTTTGGTTTAGAAAAACAAATATAATATCAATGTGTAGCCCAATCTCTAACCTTTACAATATAATATGAATCAAAGCTCTATCTATAATAGTGTTTGAACTAGATAAGATTATATGAAAGTTGTTTTTATGACTAGTCAAAATGGTATGTGCTAACTGGTCGTAATATATTATTTAAAATTTTTATTATAAATATAGAGTACTTGTAAAAGGATCTAAGTTAATATTTCTTCATTCTTTAAGTATTTAAAAACTTGATTATACACAATTTAATTAATTTATACTTCTCAATTTATCATTAGACTCAGCCATTTAATTAAAATATATTATAAATTATTTACTTAATTATCGGTTTGTTAAACATGCTTACTTCAATATAAAATTAACCACTTATATATTTAATGATTTAATAAATTATTATCTTAATTATCTACAAAATTTAAATGTTATTTTAATAATTTAACCATTTATCAATTTAAAAGTTAAAATATATATTTCTTTTTTGTTTATTAGTATTTTCTATTATTATTTAATGTATATTTTCTTACATTTTTATTTTAACATTGATGGTAAGAAAATATTAAAACCAAATTTTTTTTTATTTAATTGTCTAAGAGTGCAATGATAAGATAAAGGAGACAGAATTGCTGAATAGAATTATTTTAGAGACTTTTTGTGCTGCAAGAAAAAGACTGCAAAAAGCATGCCCGGTGAGATGGATTCAACATCAAGTGTACAGAATTTTTGAATTCAGAAAAGCCTATTTTGAAAGATCATTAGGAAATATCAAAATGACATGAACCAGATATTTCAAGAAACTGTTACATTTTCAATACAACATCCGATTTTTTTTACAATGGAATGTATTACCCAAAATTTTGTGCAATATTTTCAAAAATGATATGATTTGGCTGAAGTTTTAAGAATGAAAATATTATTATTTAATACAACTTAGCAAACTAGAAGATAATATCGACTAAAACTTTAAAGAGATTTATGTGATTTTTTAGGCGAAAGGGAAATAGCTTCGACTTTTACCTAGTCTAACAAATATTTGCAATATTAAAGTGAAATTAATCCTTAAATAACCGTTATATTTCCCTTTAAATATAATTTTGACTCAAATTAATATATGATTTGTAATTCATCATCTGGCTTTATCTAATTTACAAATATTATTACCGATAAATTCTTCTGGGGATATATAATAATATTGGCAATAAAAAATAAATACTTAACTATTCAGAGTATATAAATGTATAAATGATAATCAATTTCAGAATTTAAATCTTGGTATGAAATTTTAATTTTATTGATAATTCTCTTGCCATAGAATATTGCATACTTTAAAATATATTTTGGAGTTTTTTCCTAATATATTAAAATTATACTATATTGGTAACAATATCAATTAGTGCAAACACAAATGAAAGGATCTTTTCCTCATTATGGAGATAATAACTTATCTCAAAAGTATGATATCTATAAATTAAACTGTACTCACTACTTTGAGAATTAATTCCCAATATAGAACAAATTATAGAAAAATTGTTGCAATTAAAATTAAATTTTCTTTATCAACAATATTTTTATTAACTTTTTAAATTATCATCAACGTTTAATTCCATATTTTATTGCGATTTACAACCAGTTTATATAGCTATAATATTTATAAAACAATATTATATTCGCTCTTAAATAATATTTTCTAATATTATATTATCCTGTTCGAAATTGATATTTTTTTAAATATGATTGATCATAACAAATTTTACATGATGTTATAAATATTTATAATATGCCAAATAAAATTATATCCCCCCCCCCTCTACAGAAGAAAATTCCTGGAATATTTATTTGTACAAATAAATAAATGGTATTAGCATGTTCCCTTTCTTCACAATGCATGCATTTAATCCACTCTTCCCTTTTCATATTTGAATAACTCTTCCTTCTCGTAAATTTTTTTATGATTGATGAAGTAATTTATAATGTAACTCGTTAATTTTAAAATATATAAAAAAGGAACAAATGACATTTATAGATATCTTGTCTTATTCAAATGGATAAAAAATTAATAAACTCTCCACTTTTTAAAGTGGGCAGTTTACCAATTTATAGCATTTATAGTTGCCGTAATTATTAAAGGCCCAAATTAGGCAGGTTTGACTGGTTGATTTCTTTATAAAATAAATTCTGTTGTCCTCAAGAGAGAAATTTAAAATATTTAATAGCTCAATGACAAGCCCTAGAAATATTTTAGATATTTTTGGCTTTAATTTTCCCACCAAAATTGATCTATTCTCTACATACTCCAATTTTAGCAATCATAATATAAAATTTTAAATAATGTTTATTTTTTAATAATAGTCCAATTAGGTAAATTGTTATATTTTTATAGTATTTAAAAAAATGTAAAACTTTTCTTCAAGCGGCATTTCTGATTGATCCTGCGAGTAAAAGATCCTGAATTATAAATTTATTTGTTTAAATTATATATAGTTTTTTCTTATGTTTGTAGACAGGGATGTAATTATTGCTTATTGGGAGTTCTATATTTTTTAGAATATATATGTTAATAATAAGATTTCTTATTATTATATTTGATATGTATCCCAGGTTTGAGCGGATCTGTTTTATGTATTGAAACCATAATTGATCGGGCTCAGGTTAATTTAGTTAATGTATATGAATATACAAAAATTTTTATCAGTTATTTTCATATATCTGTTAATAATTACTTATATATACAATATCTTTTATATTATATTAGTAAATGTAGAAATTCTCTTTCATTTTTCAACATAATTACTTGGTCTTCCATATGGTCCTATTATATCAGTATGCTTGTCAAAATTCTTGCCTACGGAAAATCTCTTCATGCTCTTCGACATTTTAGTGTTACGAGCATGATATATATACTCATATCTTTATCAATCTAAATATTTTGATTGCAATTTTGGTATACTTTCCTTGAGAAATATGTCTTGATCTATTTAGAAATATAGGTTGTTTCACCGTTTTATGTAATTTTCTTCTTGGCATCAAAGACAGTGTCTATTGTTATAATAAAAAGTTCAGGGCACATTTTAATAACGCATATGTGGGGAAGAAAAAATCCCAGTTTTTCAACCAAAATAATTATATATTTTGTTTGATAATTACATTATAGTGTGACTTTTGTCTCTATTTTGTATTGAATATGAATATTGGGTTAAAGAGTTAATAGTTTATGATTCTTAATTATTCATAGAGTGTAACTTCTCTTTAAAACAATCTATATACACTTACATATTTTTTTAAAAAAATGTATCTTTTAAAGAAAGACAAGATATAAGATATTTTATCTTTTGCTAAATAGAAGTAGATACAAGATGTTATAATTAAATCATTAATCTGTTTCTTCTGCACAATAAGCCGTGAGGTGTAAGAGATGGTCAATATAATACAGAGATTAACAAAAAAATCAATATATTGCCACAAACTACTAAAAAATTTATGTGACCCAACAATAAAATAGAAACGGAGATATATATAAACCAACCAACAGAAATACTTAGTTCCAATAAATGTCATCAAATTATATGGCTTCTTTCTTCTCAGATTATTTTTTAAACAAATATAATCAAGAAATATTTAAACATAATTATTTTTATACCAAGTATATTGTACACAATGGGAAAATCAAAATGTTGAACAATGAAATATGAATAATATTTTATTGCACCCTATAAAATAAGCTAATAATTATTTTTAAAATAATGAATATAAATATGGAGAAATATTCATAAAAGATGACATCAAATTTGAATACACTATTAAAGTTGGTATATCATAATAAAATATCAATGATTTTTAACTTGAAATATAAAGGTAGGAAAGAAAGGGCAACAAAATTAATGTAATCCTATTATAAAATAAATATTAAATTTTTTAAACAAAATAATAAATATATATAGCTGTTTTAATCTTTTGTCAAGATAATGAAAAAGATGCAAGATTCTTCTGAAAAGAAAAAGTTTCAGATATGTGAATCTTATTAAAAATGTGCAATCTTTTATCTAAGATGAAAGTATTTTGGGTATATCTAACTATCATTATTTTTATCAAATCTAATTAGAGTTAAATTTGTTATAAATTCTTCAAAAGAATTAAGAAAGCATTTACTTATTTATTATTAAATTTTTGTTGTATAATTATAACTATATTTTTGTTTGTATTTTGAAACAGACGCAGCTGGTAGTAAATCTATATAAAATATATTTTTAGAATTTCAAATTGATATTGGCTCGGTTTAATAATTCACGCCTTAACCATTTAGAACTCTTAATCCGAATTTTAAAATCAAAATAATATCCTTTTAAATAAATTAATTAAACAAATTTTCTTATTTAAATGTTAATTAATTGTTTAAAAATATAAACAATACATTTTGTACATAGGTAATTAAAAATACATAGAGTAACACTTTTTGAAACAGGATCAATATATTTTTTCAATAACCATAGAGATGCAATAAACAGGGATCAGAATTTAAAAACTGTCAAATATTAAGTGTAGCAATTTCATACCATAATCATCTCTATCACAACAACGTATTCATGGAAGAACATCTTCAAAAAAAAATCCTGGAAACCTTGCGAAGGCTTTTATTTAAGACAAACAAATTATGTTGTTGTATAAACTCAATTACCCCCTAATGCTTACAATTTCCAATCCTATTTTTAAATAAAATTCCTATCCTATTTTTAAATAAAATTCCTATCCTTTTAAATACTTATATTAATTTTATTTGATAAATTTGGATGTAATGTTGCATATTTAATATTAGGCCCCAGCTTCAGACCGATTTGTTGTGTTCTAATTAATTTTTGAACTAATGTTTTATATTATTTCAGATGCTAAAAAAATTTATTTTTAAATAATTTTATATTGCATATTTATATTTTAAATAATTTTATATTGCATATTTATATTTTAAATAAAAAGTTGAAGAAATTGCTCCATGTAAGAATATCTGTTTTATAAAGACTCTTATTTAATCGCTTTGGAATTTTTTTTAATAAGCTGTCCGAATAAATAGTTAACTCTAAGAAAAAATACTGAATGCCCAGAATTATTTTTTAATGTTTGGTAAAAAAAAAACTAAATTGCCCATAAAAGATAATAATTGCTTAAATATAAAACTTGAAACGTTTAGATTAAAAAATGAATCCCTAAGAAGAATATTCCAAACGCTCAGAATAATTCACTTAATTGCTAAGAAATATTTTTTCAAGTTAATGTTGGCCCTTCCGGTTTATTATTAATAAAAATATTAAATATGACTTATTTTCATTTTTTTATAAAGCAGAATCTTTATAAATGTTTTTCCTCTATATAGAATAACACTGGGCTGTAACCTAGAATGATTATTAACTTTTTAATTCAATATATCTTTTATTACACTTAACCATAATGTTTAAAAATATTGTCAATCTCCATATCGCAGATCCGAATATTAACAATGACGATTAATAAGAATTGCAATCAAAGAATATATTTATTTTATTCCATTTAAATTCTACCGCAAGATATTTTGATTAAATATATTTTTTTTTTAAATATGACTTCCCTTATAATTATAATGATGCAGATAATTAAATTTCTTTCTTTCTTTCTTTCTTTCTTTCTTTCTTTCTTTCTTTCTTTCTTTCTTTCTTTCTTTCTTTCTTTCTTTTTCTTTCTTTCTTTCTTTCTTTCTTTCTTTCTTTCTTCTTTCCTCTTTACCCAAGCTCACCTTGAAAACTTAGAGTTGAGTAACAATTTAAACAGATCATAGATTTTTGATATCCATATCGTATTATTATAGTAATAATATTTAAGATACCTAACCTTTTCACCCCCCCCCCCTCAAACTAATCACTAAGGATATAAATAAATGGTCACCATGAAGCCAACATATTTGCTTTGATAACTACCATTGTCAAGATGATTTTTTAGAAAAGTTTTTAACACCCCCACCTTTTAGGACTTAAATCAAAGGAACTTGAATTATTTTAATAACAGTTACATACTGATTTTTTAACCTTTATATTGATGCCTTTGTCGAAATACATTTTTTAAAAAAATTTAACTACCCCACCCCCCTTCCCCCCTTAATCTAGTTTTGTGAAAATGATGATTCACTCAGCTTTCATTTGATACCCTTCATAGATTTTTTTAGAAATTTTTTTTAACATTTACACCTCACGAGATTCAAAATGGTAAAGATTAATGTTAATAACGCTCAAATATTTAGTTCTCATTAGATACCTTTGATGACATATTTGTAATCAATAAGAATCCTTAGTTGTATTTTAATTCTGAGCAATTAAGGAAATTCTGAAGGTTTCAGTTTTTTTCAGAACGAAATAATATTTTTTATAAAAATAAAAAATCACTATTATACTATAATTTAAAAATTATAAAATTTAAAGAAAGATAAAACAAAAGAAATAAATATCAGGAAAGAAAAGAAATTAAGAAATTATTTCATAATGATATTAGAAAGTTATTAGCAAAATGTTATTTCAGAATTTAGAAAATTTGGAATAATTGATTAATAAAAGATAGCAAGAATTAATGACTTTTAATTATGATTTTTTAATATATTTTTATTATGTGTATACTAATATATTATATCGATTTTTCTTAATATATAATTAATTATAATTTTTTAAAGTGGTAGAAGCTGTTCCAGGTAGAATATTATTTTTAATAAAATAAAAAAATTGTTTTATAATTTTTATTAACAAGTGATAGGAGAAGTTGCTGCTGGTAAAAATATTTTATAAAAATGCACTTAAAACTTGTTTTCAAAATAAATTAAAATAAATTCGAAAAAAATATTGATTTCAAAATATTAGAGGTTCTTTAAAGTGAACCTTCTTCGGACGGTTGATTTTAACTAAAGTTTTCAGAGTTTTGCCAGGTCTTGACTGTAAATTATATAATTATTGTCTGGCCCGGCCTTAAAATTTATTATATACGTTGCCCAGGCCGGTCTGTTAAAATTTATAAATGGCCCGGCTTTCAGGCTTTCGGAGCCAATCAGGGTTTTGCACTAACTTATATTATAAAGGTTTCCATATATTTAACATATTATGTTCAATATTTTATGAAGAATCCTGATCAAGTGGAATGTCATATATTTGTTGCTTATATTTAAGTTGAAGCCCAGCTTCATTTCTGGATTGTTAATACAATCAATTAGCATTTTTAATAGTTTTGATGAGTGGCTCTCTTTTGACTCTGTTATATTTTAATCTAATTCCTAAATCGTTCACATTTATTTCAAAAAAATTTGATAGTTTTGTAACCTTTCCTAATTTTTTTTACCCTTTAAATGATGATATTATTTTTTTGATTGGGAAAAATATTTGGTGTCCAAATGATATTTCCAGCAATTTATGTGGAAAGATAAAATTTTCTTGTTCGGCTTATAAAATTAGATTTTTATTGTTGTAATTTTAAAACTTTATAAATCAATCAATATCGAACTAATATCGGCCATTAACAAAAAATCACTAGTAGAGATCATTACTAAAAATCTGACGATTCCTGAATAATTTTACCGTTCTATATATAATAAATTTTTAAAATTTTATGAACAAGTTTCTGGGAACTAGTTTGCTTCTAATTAACAATCAGTTTTAAAGGGATTGCAAACATTTAACAACCTGTTTGGACCATGCGTAGACCGTGACCAGCCTAGCGCTGATAGTAAGTTTAAAAAAGCAAAATTTTTCTTAGTACATGGTTGCTCAAAATATAAATGATTCAATGTATTATCTATAGAAAGATTCACATTTAGCAATGAAGAGGCTGGAATATATTTTAGAATTCGTAGAACACTTACCTATAAATTCAGAAAATTTAGCATTTGAAACATTTTTCATTTACAATTTTTTTTTTTAAATTACTCGAAGATTCTTAATAAATCAAATTTAAGATATATATTTTAAACATATTTGCATTTCAAACAAAATATTACTTTTCTTAACTTACACAATAAATTTCAAAATATGACTGGTCAGTTGAAGTACGAATATAATTCTTACAAGATTATAATTTATATTATAAACAAGTTATGGAAGATATTGCTCCAGGTAAGAATATGTTTAATAAAAATCATAATATTTTAATTAAGATAGATCAATTATACAAGATATAAATCATTAATGCAGGCTCAATTTACACACTGTATATTATACATTTATTTCTCACATCATTAAAAAGTGAAAATAAGAAATATGATTCTGATACTTAGCTAGTGATATTTGGTTTTTGAGCTAGGACAGTTTTAAACAATGATTAAGACTTTATAAATATTTTTTTCCGGATCCTGTCATTTTCCTCATTTTTTAAAAAAGAAGAATAAAATTTTTAATTAGCATGAAATGTTTTAAATTAATTGTTAACTTAAAAAAATTAAATTGCAAGACACTATTTTAACAAATAAATTAAAGAAAAGGAGAATAGAAATATATAAAGCTCATTAAAATAAAGTAGATCTAATTTTTTTATCCTATTCAATCATTCAATTGGCACATTATAGATTTGGTCATTTATTTTTTTAAAAGTCATAATCGATGCCAACCTTTTAAATCAGAATTAGGAAATTTTTTTATGAGAATTGAGATTGATTCTAAAGATTTAATAAAAATATAATTGTTTTAGTGCTGAATTTATACCAATTTTTTGGCAAGGATGATATTAAAAAAATTACCAATTACGCATATGTGTAACCAAATTTATAACCATGGAAGCTGTAATGATTTTTCTTTGCACAAAAAAATTTGTATGATTAATTATAATGTCATTGCTACATAAAACTGGAAAAAAATATCAACTCACTATTCTTAATTAGGATTGCTTGTAACGCTTAGAAATTTTATTTAAATGGTTTATCTTAGAGTCCACTTCTTTTAGGGTGACCTCCCATCTACTTATTACGTTTATTTAGTCACTTTTTGGCTTCATTAAAGTTTTAAATCATTCTTTTATTAATAATTTTTCCCCTAATCATACATTTTTATAATATTTAATTCTTTATATATCAACTTTTTTATATATAAAATCTTATACATTTTTTAAATATTTATACTATTGAAATTTTTATACTATTTTTAAAAAGATATATTTATAGATCTTATACTTGTAAAATTATGAAACTATTGAATATTTTGGAAAGTAGAGTAATTGTGTTATTAAATATTTTTTATTAGTATTAAATTCGTCTTTTAAATGATCAACCCTTTTTCAGAATTTAAAAAAATAAATATGAATGAATATTAAGTAAATTAAATAATTTTATAATTTATATTTTATAACAAGTGATAGAAGAGGTTGTTCCAGGTAAGAATATTTATTATAACATAATATCTTAATGAAAATATGTGTCGTAAATGTTAAAGGATCATCAAAACGGGTTTATATAGGTCTTAATAAAATATAGGTATATTAAAATTTTTAAATACTAAAAAAAATATCCAATAAAAATTTACAAAAATAAATATCTACTAAAATTATTAAAAGGTAAAGTAAATGATTGACAAATAATTAAAATATTACCTTAAATTACAAAGTTGAATCAATTTAAGATCATCTTAACGAGCCAATGTATCCAATTCAAGAAAAAAGATTCCTAATCAAAAATGATTTTAGATAATATTTAGAAGGTAATTTTCTCCCATTTTTATCTAACCAAAAATTTAGTTTTTAAAATACGATCTAATTTATTTTGAAGTATAAATATAGATTCTAATGTTAAGAGAAAAAAATTTCTTATCTATCTATCTGACTATCTCTGGGCCTTTTATATATTTTTATGATGGATTCCTTTTAAAATTTTAGCGTTTCAGTTTTACTGAACGATTATATTATTATTTTTTCTAAGCAATTCAGTTTGTATCTGAGCATTACAAAATAATTCTTAAATTTTTCATAGAAATTTTACTGAGATTTTGAATTTATTTTGAGCTGAAGAGGATATCTTTTTTCGAATTTAAGTTTTTCTTAACCACCATTAAATAGGGGCCAAAAGAATTTTAGATAGAAAAATGGAAGAAAATAAATAAATTTCTTCTATCAGAGGATGCGCATAATCAGTCCTGAATTACGGATTGGAGTTAAATTCTATTATCCTAAATATCCATATGGCTCAGGAATAAAAGTTATTATAATTAATATAGACTAATCTTGAAAATATTTTTATAAAACCCTGGACTAGGAATGCCGAGTTTTTAAAAAATAATTTATGTACAATCATTTACTGCTCATATCTTACTTATTTACTCATCCCATTAGATCAGGTCTAACTTAGTAAAATGATGAATATTATGATTATAATCAAACGATATTTTAATTACTTTTTATAAATCTATATTAAATTTTATGTTTATAAATAATTTCCTAAATTACTGACGGCCCATGACTTAAACCAAAGTTTATGTTGATTTACATTGCAGTCAACAGATATATTAACTGTCATTTTTGACCCCATATCAAATTTATAAATCCCCCACCCCATTCCTCGTGATAAAGTTTTACTATATAAAATCAAACTGATTATCACTGCCATAACATTACATCTTAATTAACTTTTGTTGCTATTGTTTTTATATTACACATCTTTTAAAAATGCTTATGAACCCCTAAAACTTAGATTCGCTATAAATACCTGGCAAAAGATAATTCAATTACCTTTTATTTGATGCTCGTATCCAATCAATTGGTTATGAAGTTAATATAATATTTTGTTAGCCCAGAAGATCTAGACGTCCACTAAGATTATGATAAACATTAGAGTCAAAAGATATTTTAATTTTCTTTTATTTCATACCCATTTCATATTATATTATATCTTTGCCACCCTTCAAACCTTCCCTCAATCAAGGTAATACTTCATATCAGTAAAAAGATATTTCGATTGTATTTATTTGATAGAATATCCCCCTCCCTTAAGTCTAGACTTCTTAAGAAAGAAAGGCAGACCTTGAATCGGATAGATCATTTGATGAGCTTACGATTGAATCTCTATATAAGACATACCTACAAAGGATAATCACAAAATATGTTTAAAATAATAATAACTTAAATTCTTAAATAAGAAAACCTAGTATCCATTAAAAACCCAAGAGTTATGATCTCCTTAAAAAATATGACATATATAAAATAAATAAAAGAGAAGAAAGATAAAAATAATAAAAAGAAAAAATGAAAAGGAATAAAATTATTAGTGGTTAAACTTATAATATCATTATCATATTTAAGTTACTTCCGATTTATATAATATAATTAATTTAATCTACAAATCTTCCTATTAAGCTATAGAAGGACTAGCCCCAAGTATTAAACATTTCATTTACATATCATATTAATATTAAAAATTAACAAATTGTTATAATAAAAAACTATTTAAAGTATTAAATTACATTTAGAAATAAAATAATAAACTTGATTAAAAATAGTGTAAGAAATAAGAATAATATAAAGATTTAAAAGAAAAGATAGGGATAATGACAAATGAAACGTACCTTCAGAATTTTGTACTCTTTGAACTGATAAATTCTAAATATATTTCCTCTAAAGAGCTTAATTTGTAGACCTCTAGAAGGAAAAAGAGACTAAATCTTCCAACCATGAGTCTAGGGAATCTAGTTATAAAACCAGAATAATAAGTTTATTATGAGATAGATATTTATTGATTTTACTGAATATTATTATAACGTTGAATGTTTACGAAGGAATATAGTCAATCAGCTTTCCGACTTATTTATTGTACCATCGTCGAGTCTTTCGCGATCGACGAGAGGAAGGTTATTTGGTCATACATTGGGAATTCAGCTAAGATGACTGATTTGAAACGAACTATCCTAGCTGTGTTGTGATGTTACAGCAACGAATGACTTTTAAGCAATTTAATATTAAATATTAATAATTTTATTTTATTTCAGATTTTTAAAATATAATGAATTTTACAAAATTTAATAATATTATAAAATTAAGTTGTAGAAGAAGTTGCTGCAGGTAACCAATATAGTTCCATAAAGATATTTTCTAGATATTAATTTTAAAAAAATATATATAAAAAGAATAGAAAGAAAGAAAATAAAATAAAAGGATACAGGGATGCGAACCCGACAAAATTTTTGCCCGGGTTCGGTTCGGGTTCGGTTCGGGGTATAAAAAAAAGGTGGGTTCGGTTCAGGGAAATATTTTTGAACCCGGGTTTGGTTCGGGTTCGGTTCAAGAATTTTTGAGTTGATAAAAAAAATTCTATATTTAAATCATAATAAAAAACTAGACATAAATTTGATATAAAAAATAAATTTTTTATTTTATTTATAGGCAAATATAGTTAAAAATACAAAGCATATAGTCATGTATCAATTTTAAAAATTTTGTTTAGACGTATTAGCATAATATCTTCCAAGAGTTGTTCACTCATCCTCGATCTATGTGGTGAAAGAATGAATTTCAAATGTGAAATAGATCTTTCAACGCTAACCTATGTTAAATGTATATTTATATGTGAAAATATGATAAATTAACTTGGGTTGCAGGAACAGCAAATAAGATTTTAGATAAAATATATAATTCAGGGTGTTCCAGCTTAGCAGACTCCCAAAAATGCAAAATATTTTTTTTTTATCTAATCTTTTATAATCGCTAAATCCAGTAATTATTGTAAGGATTTATATTGTTTATATTTAAATATTCCATAAAATAACAATTTTAATATAAATCTAAAATAATTAATTTACTAAGCTTTTAATTAACCTTGTATCTTGGGTCCAGGTATATGGCACCTAAGAGAATTTTGTTCTTTATAAACCTTTCTTCTCTGTTCTTAAGACAAGAATATAGTAATTGAGCAAAATGGTATGGATTTTTTTCCAGTTCGATGCAGCATCTTAACCATGCTGCATAAAAATCTGTCAGTGTTAACTGTTCAGATTGGAATTGTTTGGTTGCGATTTTTAGCGGTTTTAAAATTTCAACAATCGTTATTATCTCTTTCCAATCTTCAGTCAATAAATAATCAGATTGCTCTGAAAAAAAATCTTCGATATTGGGTTTTAGTAAAATCAGCCCTTCTAACATATCATGGGTTGAATGCCATCTGTGGCAATCTAACACAGGCTCAAAGGAGTTTCATATTTTTTAATAACTTTTGGTAAGTGGGATGTCTTAATTTTAAATTTAGGATCCTAGCTTTGGTGATAATTTTATAGCATCTTGAAGTGCCAGCTGAAGTGTGTGAGCTGCACACCGTACACTATAAATCGGATAGGATATAATAGTTGATAAAAAAGTATTTTGTATATCATCAATATCATATTTATATACATTTACATTCATATTTTCCTCATCTGCTGATTCACTCCTTATATCATAATCAGTTTCAAGTTGCAGGAGCTTTATAGCTCTTAAAAAATTACAACCATTATCAGAAGTAATTGTGTATATTTGTTGAATATTAATTTTAAATTTTAGTAAAGTTTTTAATATATTCTCTTTTATATATTCTCCTGTACATCTCACTTTCAGCTCTACAATTCCAAGAGTCCTCAAATTTATAATGGACTTTGATATAAATTGAATATTTACACCAAGAATTGACCTATCTAGTCGTTGAACTGCATCAACTTTTAAACTTATTAATTTTCCTTCTACCTCTCTCGATATTTTGTCTCTAATTGATTGGGCTGTTTTATTAATAGTTCTGGATAAATTTTTTTTGTTTATAACCAAATTGAGCCCAGATAGGAGTGGATTTATAATTCTTTGAAATCCCGAATCTTCAATAATTGATAAAGGCCGGCCATTTACAGTAACAAGTTCTAGTATAGAACTCATCAAATCATTAGATGATATATTTATACTTATATGCTTTTTTGGAAAAAAGGTTTCTATATTAATTTTAGGTTTTTTTGCCAATAAAAATTCCTGATATTTGGTTTTTTCATTTAAATAATTTAAATATTCATTGTTGTGATTTCTTTCCAGGTGTCTTTCTAAATTTGACAAGTGATTACCAGACATTTTTACTTTGCAATATGAACATATTATTTTTTTTCTATTGCATTAAGGGTAAAATGCTTATCAAATATGACTTTATCTTTAATCTTAAATCTATAAAAAGAGAACAATTTTTTTAAATAGCAATGATTTCAGAATTAAAAAAGAGATATTTATAAATTTAATTTCATTTATAATATGCACTTCATTAATATCTTGTAAAAATTAATCTGAACCAAAAATAAATGATTAGCATATATAAATTTTAAAATCATTTTAATAAGTTCACAAAAACTGCTCTACATTTAACAATTTTTAAGTTAGATGTTTAGAATTTTTTAAATTAACAATATAATAATTTTTACTTTGATTTGTTAACCATTTTCTTCTAATTAATAATCTTTAAGAATAATAAGATAAAAATTTAAAAATAAATGGCGTAAATTAATTCAATTGTTTAATTTTTTAACACTCCAATAGGAATCGAGAATAAATTAAAAAATGGCATAAATGAATTAAGTTGTTTAAAATTTATTAACACTTCATTTAATTGGAAATTTGAAAATATAATATTTGTATTTACATATATTATTATATGATTTTAAATAATACACTGAACCCGGTTGAACCCGGGTTCAAATAAAATTCTTGGGTTTGGTTCGGGGTTTTGAAAATTTTATAAATGGGGTTCAGGTTCGGTTCGGGTTCAGAGTTTTTTTCTAAAAACCCGGGTTCACTTCTCCGGGTTCGGGTTCGGTTCGAATCCCTGGATAAGAATATAAAAATAGATTATATTTAATAAAAATTTAGAAATTTAGAGGGAAATATTTCATGAACTAAATACTTCGGGATGAATATAATTATGAAATTAAATGGTATATTTTGTAAAATTTCACTAAAAGTTAGATAGGATTTTATTAGACTTAAATGATAAAAGCTTCAAATTTTCTCTATCAAAGTTCAGTTTTTTAAAACTGAGCATGTTGGAATATATTTTAGTATAAGTAAAATAGATAATATATATACCCTATAAATTTAAAAAATTTTAATATAAACAATTGAACCATTTTTAATTTAATTTTTTAAATTTTAAAATGACAGAAGTTCTTAAGATGAATAACTTAAATTTATATGGTAGATATGTATTTTATTTGCAAAAAAGGATATAATATTAGTATAAAACGAATAGGTATTATCTTTTTAATTAAAATTAAATATATAACAAGTCGGTTAATTAATTTGAGCGCCGAGAAGCTGCGTTCTGAGGATGCCGTGGTAATTGGAATGGTTAAAATAATCCATAATACAATGGAAATATTTGTAAGGTTACATTTTACCTATTAGTGTTAATATAGCTTAAAATTTCCAATGGAGATTTTATATGCATATTTAATATAGTCACTAAAATTTTATTATTATCGCTTTTTAACGTATCCTGATCTGATAATAAAACAATTAATTGATAGCATTTTTTCTTTAACTCGCTTTCAGGCACATTCTTTAATTATGCTAACTTTAATTGCTTCAAATGAATTTCTTGCTTGATCTGGTAATACATTAAAAAATTTAATCTTATATTATTTTTTAGGAATTAATATAAGTGTGTCATTTTTGTGAGAAAATTGTTTTTGATCCGTCAAGGATGTACAACTTTTCTATCCTCTATTCCAATTCGATGGCAAGCTCTTTCGCTGAGTCAAGGAAATACTGAAATGCGTTTTCCTTAAAGATATTTAAAAAATCTTGCATACTTTCTATAAGTGTATAGCTCTTTCTAATTCAATAATGTCATTTTGCATGACCTTATTTACTAGATATACCTAGGCTAATGTATCAAATTTGATGACAAAAGTTACGAAAAAAGGCAACTGTTTTAATTTTTTAGCCAATAAAATGGCTTCTGTTCAGCATTAGTTGTCATTAGTTTATTTAGGATACGTCTATTAGTACATCATAAATATCCCCAACCTTAATAACCTTTACACTCTTCAACTTACACTCACATAGCGTTTCAGGTAGAGCTTTTATCGTAAAATTATTTATATTACCCTTCAAAATTTGCCATCGATGAGTCGATACAGAAAAGAGAATATGTATTTGATAACACCAAAAAATTATTTAGAACTAATGATGCATGCCATGTCACTAAATACCAGATTTAAGCTGTGACAACCACAAGCTATAAAATGCGTTCCGCAATTAATTTGTAATTTTTGTGCTTGAACCCTTTTATTACATACTCTCATTCGATTCATTGTAACCTTGTCCACGACAATTTTTATCTTTTATCCTAATATTTTAGATAATGATAAAATTGCTTCTACCAAGACTTAACGTTTTAGTGTTTTAAAAAAATATATATTTATAGATTTTATACTTGTAAAATTAAGAAACTATCAGAACAATTTTAATCTTCATTCTTATTAAGTAGTAGAAGAAGTTCCAGGTAGTGCATATTTTATTTATGTATTTTATTAATATTTATATTAAAAATTATATAAACTATTAAAGAATTTAAAAATTAAAATAACACTTATTAAATGTGGTGTATGAATAATATAAAGATTTAAGAGAAAAGGCATGGGAAAATTATAAATAAAATGCACCTTCAATATTTCAATTTGTATTCCTTGAAGTGATAAATCTCATATAGAAGAGTCCAAATCATAGGAAAATGAGGAGGCTAAGGAAGCTAGCTATAAAACCAGTTATGATTTATCTGCTTTTTCAACTGATTTATTGTAGCATTATTGGGGCTTAAACGATCGAAGAGAAAGGTCAGATATCATACAGAAAATTGGGTAATCAGCTGAGCTGATCGATTTGAAAAGAATGATCTTCGCTGTTTTGTGATGTTACAGCAACGAGCGACCACTTAGCATTTAAATATTAATAATTATTTTTTATTTCAAATTTTGAAAATAGAATTAATTTAACAAATCTTTATAATGTTTAAGTTGCAGGAGAAGGTGCTGCAGGTAAATAATATTGGTTTCATAAATATATTTTATAGATATTAAATTTTAAAAAAAATATATAAAAAAGAAATATAGAAAGAAAAAGAAAAGAAAAGATGGAAGGATTGAAATATAAAAATAGATTAAAAGTTTTAATCTAATATTTAAAAATCAGAAACTTAGAAGGAAATATTTCATGAACGAAACGCTTTGGGGTGAAATAATTATGGAATGAGAAATAATATATTTTAGAACCTTACGGAACTTCATTATATTTTTTGGATTTAAATGATACAATATATTTTCTCCATCAAAGTTCAGATTTTAGTATTGAGCATGTTGGAATATATTTTCGAATCTGTATGACAGATAATATATATTCCCTATAAATTTAGAATTTTATTATAAACATTTGAACCATTTATAATTTACAATAGTTCATTAAGTTAAAAAAAATAACATATTGCAGTGACGAAGCGTCAAGTTCACTATTAGGGAATCAATCAAAAAAAAAATTTATTTTTATTTTGGTCAAACTCAAACCATAAAAACATTAAGATTTATAAATAAATGGTATATTCGTCTTATTTTTTGAGTAAAATGATAGTACTACATTATAAAAGTTATTGCTAGATTTTAAATTTTTTTAATAATTTTTTCTCAATCGAAAAGATAAATTCGATAATCGATTTTGGCTCATCCTGTTTCTGCAATAAGATTTGATTCTTTTTAAAAATAAAAACCTCCGTTCTGCACTTGCTGTTGTTGAAGCCAAAGTTAAGATGAATTAGCATAATTTAAAAAACTCTTTAAAACTTTTCTTCAAATCGGTGCATATTAAAATTCAAGTATTTCATTAACATTCTTTTTCTTTTAAATTCAACATCCCGAAACACTACCTTTAATTCGGTTTCCAGCTTGTGTAAGTCGAAAAATTGAGAATAATTGTCGTTTAAATTATCTCATAAATATCTTGGTAAATTTTGATTATTTGGAATTTACTAATATCTAACAATTCGACGAATTTAATATTTTGTGTAAGACATATGAAATAGAATTAATAAAATCATTTTGAATATCGCTTGATAGTCCAATAAAATCTGCACTATTTCTAAATGATGCATCAATAGTAAATTATCTTCTGCGAGCAAATAAATTAATTCAATATTATTTCCTCTATTTACTGAATTAGAAGATTCATCATCACCACGGAATACGAGCTCCTGGATTCTAAGAAAACATATAGAATTGATCAATATTTTGAATATTTCTCTATTTAATTTTACTTTAGAATTATGCTGTTCTATTGATATTTTGCGCATCGAATCTATCATTTTTTCAATATGATTTTGGCCAAATGTTTTAAATTGAATCATCGACTGCAAATGAGCGGTTGACATGCCATTTAACTGCTTTGAAAAATTAATCATATTAGAAAATCTTTTATCACACCAAACATATTTTTCCTTTGGGTATAATAGGCATGACCAACAATATTGATAATTAGAAAATTCACATCATGTGAGCCATTTATATTTTTCATATTTATCGATAGAAAAATTACGGATGCAAGTTTTGATTTCTTTTTTTAAGTTTTGGAAAATTGGTTTTGGTCTTCCATTTTCAGTAATCATTTTTTTAGCATCGAAATTTCTTGTAAATGATAATGTTAACAAATTTTCAATAATACAATTACAATTATTAAACATTTAAAAGGATTATAAAAAAGAAAAATTTTTTATTTTCAAAAAGTAAGGAAAAAAATATTTATAAAAAATTTCTTTCACTTTTATTTATTAAAAAAATAAGCATTTTTTTATTTGCTTCCCCAATGCTTATTTTTTAATGGTAAAATTACACAATACCATGGCATGATTTTATCTTTATTTATTAAAAAAATAAGCAATATTAAATTTGCTTCCCTCATGTACATTTTTTTAACGTAGTAAAAATAATAGTTAATTTTTTAACGTAGTAAAAATAATAGTTAATTTTTTAACGTAGTAAAAATAATAGTAACTTTTTTAACGTGGTAAAAATAATAGTATTTCTTGGTTAATGATGCTTACTACCAAGTGAATGTATGGAAATATTCTAATTATCAACCTAATTTGCTAAATACCGACCAAAATTTATTAAAATGTAATAAGACCCTTATTATTTAATATATTAATACGAAATCACGTGGTCGAGTCCGGCCTTCTATATATCATCCCCCCAAGGATGGAACCACCAAGTTAGAATAAGAAAAAAAACATGAACATTCCAGGGATTCGAACCCGGGAGCATGGGATCAGTAAGTCAAGCTCTTCTAGGCCATAGAGGTTTTCAAAAAATCACGATTTTTCAAATATATATTATAAATATATTTGGTAGTGCCTATCCAAATGAAAATGAACAAAATTCAAATTTGATAGGTAGTACCTTAAGGTAGTAAGCATCATTAACCGTATTTCTTAATATAGTAAAATGATATTAATTTTTTTAACGAAGTCAGTTTAGTTTATTTAGCATAGCAGAAGATTATATTAAGTTTATTTAAAATTTTGTAAAAAATTTTTCAAGGGAAGCAATGCTTCCCTTGCTTCTATGGACGCTTCGTCACTGACACATTGTTAGGGAAAACCTGAACACTAACATAAATCGTTTTGGTTAGTTGAAAAAAGATTAAAAAAATATTATTTATACAAGATTTATTAACAAGAGGTAAAATAAATATCCTATGATAGGAATATGTTAGATAATATAACATTTTTATTATAATAGATAAAATCATACAAAACATAAATAATTAATGAGCAGCACTGTGCCAAGATTTTTGGTTAAAAAGGGCAAAAAGTAATTTGGCGGCCCCTCAAAAAAACACAAATTACCTATTATTTGATAAATTTTCGCATAGTTAATTTAAAACATCACTTTATTTAATTTTATTCATAAATGAATAATGCACATTAAAAAAAAATAAATATAATTTTAAATTAATATATTGAAATTTTATTTATCTTCCTCGTCTTTTTATTTTCAAAAGAGGATATTATGTTAGTATAATCTAACGATTTAAAATTAAAGAGAGATTAACAAGTCGGTTCTGTGCCATATAGGATTGTAGATTTGTTTTAAATAATTTTAACTTTGAGAAGCTGCGTTCTGCTGATACCACGGTAATTGGAACCTTAAAATAATCCTTGATACAATGATTATAATTGGTTTTATTTAAGCTATTAGTGTTAATTACGCCTAAAATTTCAATGGAGGTTTTATGGGATACTTGTCTAATATATTCACTAAAATTTTAGGAATAATATTGCTTTCTAACTATTCTGATTTTTTAATAAGCATTTAATTGACAGCATATTTCCTATAGCTCTCTTTCAGGCACATTTATTAATTCTGGTACATTGAATAAGAATTCAAAATGATCTTTTAAACTCTTTTAATGGCTAAAAAGGTTCCCCTAAGAATTTCTTGCTTGATCTAGTAAAATTTAATTTTATATTATTTAAGAAGGTCATATATAGACGTGTCATCTACTTCATAAGAAAATTGTTTTTGAACCCTCCGTCTATCAATTGATATTATTGAAGGAAAGAACTGCTCTTCTATACTGTGCAAGCTCTTTCCCTGAGTCAAGGAAATTCTGAAAGCTCTTTTCCTTAAAGTGATCTAAAAAATCTTGAATACTTTTTATATATGTATAGCTCTTTCTAATTCAATATTGTCACTATGCATGACCTTACTTACTAAATTCACCTGGGCTAATACATCAAACCAGAATACAGGAGTTACCAGAAATGGGAACTGTTAATTATTTTCCAATGAAATGACTTCTGTGCACCATTTAAAGTCAATAGATTTTTTAATATGTCTATCAGTGCATCTTAAATATAAACAACCTGGAATCTAATTGCACAGACCTCACCTTACACTCATTGCGTTTTAGATAATGGTTTTATCGAACAATTTATATTATCCTTAAAAATTTGCTATCGCAGGGAATATATATTGGAAAATCATAATATTTTGCCCCCAAGATCACCTGCCCACTAAGATGAAGATCAACATTGTAGTCATAAGATATTTTAATTTTCTTTAATTTCATACTCATATCATATTATATTATAAAATTTCCTACCCCCGACTCAATCGTCCTTCTACCAAGTTAATACTTAATATCTACAAAACATATTTCGATTTTATTTATTTGATAGAGTATCCCCTCCCCTACTCCTAGACTTTTCTTTAAAGAGAGAAAGATTGACCTTTAATCGAAAAGATCATTTAATTAGTTTCGATTAATTCTCTTTATAGGACATACCTATTTTCGTAATGTCAGTAAAAGATATTTCATAAAATATATAAGTTAAAATAATAAGAACTTAATTTTTTTAAATAAGAAAATCTAGTATCATTTAAAATATAAGAATTTTGATCTCCTTAAAAAATATGACATATATAAAATAAATAAAAGAGAAGAAAGATAAAAATAATAAAAATAAAAAATGAAAAGGTATAAAATTATTAATGGTTAAATTTATAATATCATTATCGTTTTTATGTTACTTCCGATTTATATAATATAATTAATTCTACAAATCTTCCTTTTAAGCCATAGAAGGACTAGCCCCAAGTAATAAACATTTCATTTACAAATCATATTAACATTAAAAATAAACAAATTGTTATATAAAAAACTATATAAAGTATTCACAAGGATTTGAAAATTATAATAACAAACTTGATTAAAAATAATGTAAGAATATAAAGATATAAGAGAAAAGATATGTGAAAATGACAAATGAATCTTAGATTCGGAATTTCAATTTGTATTCTTTGAACTGAAAAATATCAAGTATATTTTCTGTAAAGAGCTTAATTTGTAGGGCTCTCGAACAAAGAAGAGGCCATGTCATTGGACAATGAAGCTAAGGTATCTAGCTATAAAAATTGGAATATTTATTGATTTTGCTGAACATTAATACATGGTTGCTATTGATTGTTAGTGTAATAATATTTACTAAAGAAGAACCCTTACGATTTATCCGCTTTCCAACTAATTTATTGAAGCAATATACGATCAAAAAGAAAGTTTAAGTTTCATATGAGTACTCAGTTGAGATGACCAAATTTAATTTTGTTTCAGCTTTATAGAATGAATTCAAAAAAAAAATGATATAATATTAAGTTGGAGAAGAAGCTGCTGCAGGTAAATACTATTTTCATAAAAATATTTTCTAGATATTATTTACAAAAATATATATAAAACAAGAGATAAGATGGATGTATAAGAATATGAAATTAGATTGAAAGGTTTAATCTAATATTTAAAAAACCAAAAATTTAGAAAGAATATTTATAAACGAAATGCCTGGGAGTATATTTATGGAATATAAGAAGTTTTAAACTTTCGAATATTTCTTAAACAGTTTATTAGGATTCTATTCCAAATATATCTAAACAGTGCTATTAAATTTAATGTTTTTAAAAATTATCTTTATCATCACTTATCACCAGTCAAAATTTCTCTTCTAGATAATAAGTTTTAAAAAAATAAAAAATCTTGTTAGTTATAAAAATTAATTTCATAACAGAATATTCAATCAACTAACTATTATTTTATCTTATTATCACCATCTCTCACTTTGTTCATCCCCTATGCGTTTAAGGATTTTGATATTGCACCGCTTGAATGTTCGGTCTAATAATTCTTTCTTTTAAACCAATAACCTGAAGATGTCACCATATTTTAAACTCATAAACATAGATTGCGAATAGGAAATCGAAAGCTCCGGCAAAATCTTAACCTCATCTTTTAGTTGAACAACTGAAAGTATCTATCATGTTCAATGCTGATTAGAAAGTATCTGTCTGTATATGCTCAACTTGTGTCACACTCAGGTTGAGAAAATGATGGCTACACTTTGAACATAAAATTCTCGTATGTAGACACTACCCAAGACACTGCACAATCAATATTATCATATCCTAGGTCTTAAAAGGAGCCACATGCGATACTTTTCATAAAATTAAACTTTGCACAATGTCTCCTAGAAAATTTCTTCCATTTACCACATTTAACATTCCAAACTTATGCTCCTTGGTTAAACGTTAAATATGTTGTACCTATAGATTTAATTAAGGAAATGAATGGCTTATAAAATATAAATCATATTTTAAAAATATATATCATATTTTACAAATAAAAATCATATTTTATATAAAATAAATAAGAATCGTTTAAAATATTAAACCTTAATTCCAATCAGCTATCTCCAACGTTTCTTAGCCACTCCATTATATTGAATATTTTAAGGTTTAAATCTAATAATCAATTTAATTAAGATATTTAGAAAATAAAATATGATATTACTTAATCTGAGCAGAAACATATATTTATTTTAAACATTTTTCAATTAATTTTTTTCTTTTTCCATTTATGGAAAACTAGTAATTATCTCATTATTATTCTTATGCATATATAAAAGTTGTATGATTTTTGGTAGGATGTTAACCATATATAAATATTTTTATTAAATACATTTCAAAATAATTTTACATAATTTTATTTAGAAATACTGTTAATGAGTAATATTATTTATATAATAAAAAAAAATAACGTTAAGAATTTAAGTACTATATATATTTACTTATTAAAAAATTTAATAAATAATCAAATATAATATTTTCCTACTCATTTTCCTTATCTATGAGTAAGAATAATTATATATTAGTTTTTTTTATATTGTCCTATTAAAAATTATTTGTATAAATTGATCAACAACTTTTAGTTTATAACGAAATCATTTGAAAAAGGATTTTTATATTAAATTTGGATACAATTTTAGAAAGTTAACGCTAATAGTGCTTAATGTTTTTAAACAATTTGGTTTTTAGCTGGATAAAAAGTTCGGTAGTAGATGACTTTAATAAAATTTTTGAGAATAGTTTAAAATTGATAGTGCTAATTTTATTTATCCACGAGGTAAAATATATTTTTTAAAAGAAATATTTATACTAGATAAAAATTTAAGGGTAAAAGGAAACTATTAAAAACTTTGGGGATATTTTGGCGTTAATATTACAATTTTCTTTACTCCATGATGGAAATAAAAGTAAAATTAAGAGAATAATATTTATCTGTATTTGTAATACCCATAAATGGTGGGTTATTTGGTTATAAATAATGTTAAGTGTTAAGATGTTCATATATATTTCATAAATCTATGGGCAAACGATTCATATATTTACATTTATATATATATATATATTGCGCAATTATGAAATATAACTAATTAAATATATCCCACACTTGCAATGATAATATTCATTCTTAATGTAAACATTTACAGAAATTTGATGTTTCTAATAGATTGAAATTATAATTCCCTCAAATTAACTAACTTATATAGAATATTAGAGTAAAAACTTAAAAGATGCTGATAATATGCATATTCAACAATTTTGTTTTTAGCAAATCTCTTTTTTTTCAATATCCGGTAAATCTAGAAAGTTTATTTCCATTTACAGTCAATAAACTGGACATTTGAAAGAATTTATTATATTTGGAAACTGTCAAAGGAATTATCTATTTACATATATTTTTAATCGGCTGAAAAGAAGTACATTACAAAATGGGAAATATACAAGTGGTGAATAATTAAAGGAATATATTTCATTCCAATTGTTAATTTAATGTGAATATATATATGGTTGTCTGGAGAGTTAAGTCTGAACTATTGACAAATCAATTAATCTATTAAAGAAAAATGGCTTAGTTCTAGTTTTGCGGTCCTTCAGCATGAGCCTTCGTATATAAAATATCTTTTCTTGTAATTTGAGAAGCAGTCTCTATCTATTTACATGATCACTAAGCGAAATCGGGAGTGAATATTTCTCAAATAAATTTTATTCTTCTGGATAATGTTATAATTCATCTGTTGAATCAGGTTAGTGTTATTAAACGGGTCGATTTGAGGGGATTTTTAAAAACCGCTAACATGCCTCATCGCTAATAGATGTCCAAACTGTTGCGCCATCGTTGAGCAAAATCTTTAGCCCTGCATAATATTATTCTGGAAAAATATTGAGTTAGTCGGTTTTAAAAATTGGCTAAAATACAACACTAGATCAGTTCTACTATTAAAACATATAAAGAAATTTAAATGAAAGTTATAATTCAAAGATATCTAAAAATAAAGTGCATTTCGCAAAAAATATCTCTATTGTCCGATTTAATAGTAAATATTAAGCAGATTTTTCATTTAGAGGGGAGACTTTTTCTTTTTAGTTATAAATTTTACAAATCTAGTAAATATTTTAAAAATAACTAATAGGGTTGGGTTGAAAATCATCTTTTTTTCTCAATTTGAAACGATAATAAATATGTATTTAATTATATCTACTCATGCCTTATTAAAATATATATAAAATGTCCTCTTTTTTAATGAGCATGATAGCATTTGATATTGAATTTTACATGTTTAATATACTAAACCTATGGTGTTGAGTATATATTCAAATCTGTATATAAAAAATACACAGATCCAATTCAGAATTTAGCCCGTAAATTCTGTTAATATGGTATGATTTAAAAAATCGGGCCCTAAAAATAAAAAAACCTAGAAATTAGAAATTTAAATTATATAAATTAACCAGTTAAAAAATTTTAAAAATTAATATTTACAGATAATATATATAATATGGCCTGGCCATGAAATAATGAATCAAAAAAAATTTAATCAAGTTGAAAAAATAATTATATTGAAAATATTGGGGCAGGTTTGAAAAGAAAAAAATCTTCAAATCTGAACTTGATTCAAAAATTCTGAATTTACAAATCTCTGATATAAACTTTAAAAAAAATAATGTATATCATCAACTTTTAACTAAAAATTATTTTCTAGTTCAAGAGGGTAATAAAATTAATATTTTATGATACTCAACCTAATGGAAATCATGTGATTCATACACAAGATTTTTGAAAATTTGAAATTTTAATTTTCACATCAATATAAATATCTCAATTCCCTATTAACACTACAATTAAGTTGATGTTTAGATATGAGTGAATCTTATTTTAGGAATGTTCATTTTAACTCCTGTCTTTATTATACCTGATATAATTATAGGTTTTTTTTATTATTTCCATCTAACTTATTTTTCATATTTAGCTGTAGAATGTAAGTTATTTGATTAAACGATTATAGAAGATATTAAAAATATATCTTCATATTAAAATCTAACATTTATAAAAAAATATGCTTATATTCTTGTAAAGACTTCTCCCGTAAGCATAAATAGAGCATGTATTTTTTTAAATAATATTTTAAAATTTTTCTATAATATATTATTTTTTTTTAGTTTTGTTTTGTAAGACAATTTAAATATAATATATCATTGACTATTTCTTGTAGTCATTATAATACTATCATTCATATTGGAAAAATGAATATTAATTTAACATTTATATAAAATATAAATATTTATTTTTTTATAAAATTATATGATTCATTATATATATTTGTTAAAATACTATGCTTTAAAATATTTTATAATTATAAAGTATAATGGAGGTAAATTCCATAATATTTTTAATATATCTTTATATAAAAAAATAAAAATTTCATAAATAATAATGTTTTTTGAGATATTTTGGTTTTAAGTTTTTAACTTTAATCAATCATGTTATTAAAATATAAAATTTTTTATAATAAACAACTTTCTTTCTTCCTCCCATTTTATTGAATCAAGTTTCATAAGAGTGGAGAAATCCCCATAAGACTTGAGAGAGCTATTTTTTGAATAAAGTCAGTGTGTTAATCAAATGAGGCCAATTTTATTAAATCAATCCAATTTAAGAGTTATACATAATTTCCTTGGTTCGTTAATTTATTAATAATCAAAAGTAAATAGTCAAAACATAGGCACATAACATATAGAGACAAACATTTTATCTGCTATTTTAAATTCAATTAAGGCCTAGAAGAACTTTCAAAGTTTAAGGGAATTTAAGTTTAAGGATGCTTTCATTATAAGGGTTATTAAAAATTATTTATTTAAATAGTACATTGACCAAGGTAGTGGTTTCTTCTAAATTTAGAAATTCTCCAGAAAAATCTAATATGTATTTTTGGTTATAACATGAATATTGATGTAAAATTTCTTTTAATTAATATCTATAATATATTTGTTAAATAATTTTAAAATTTTATTTTACATATACTAGTAGAAATCAAAAAAATATTTTCAATTATGTTATCAATACCATATTTAATTATTTTTATGATGGATTATTAAGTTTTTGGTTTATTATTCATTGATTTGTAAACATTTATTTCATATATCATTTTGTATTTTTTTTTAAATATCTGGCATCTATCATAATTATAATAATTACAATATATCTATAGTGTCAAATTTGTTATATATAGCAGATTTATTCATATTTACATCACCATGAAAAACATTTGTAACATTTTTATATAATTTACAAAAAAACAGCATCTTCATATTGTGTTTTGTGACTTACTTTAGATAAACTAGTAGCTAATGGTTGTTCTCATAAATATCAATTTTTATTGTTAAAAATAAATTTCTGCTTTGCATTTAATTAAAGTTTAATTTTAATAAATATCTCTCAAACTTAGGGATTATACAATTCCTTCGGATCATAATTTACAAAAAGGCCCTTTAGGTCCTCACATATTTAGCTTAGACATACATAACCTAGTTACTTCTTTAAAAATTTTTTTTAACTTAGGAACATCTGCGGATTATCAAAAAATATTCAGCGATAGATTATACAGAGTTGAATTCTATAAACATAGGTCTACTCTAAATAAAACTAAATCCCAAATAAGCCATTTGAATACAAAGGCCCAGGGGTTTAAAATAATTAAAGAAAGTGAAATTAATTTTATTGGTTTATCTGCATTTGCGTCTAAAAACCATAAGATGGTCTTTAGTCATCTGTTTTTGCTCAATACTCAATAGCTTGATATCGAGGTTTAATTCAGCAATAGTATTTAAATAATCTGATATGTAAAAAATTTTAATAAAATATTATTATACCATTGAGAAATAAAAATCAAGTGAAAATTAAAAATAAATAAGAAAAATAATTATCAAAAATGAAAAATAAAGATTAAGAATGACTTAAAGAGATTTAAAAGGTTAGAAATGTATGATTGGTTTGTTATGTGTGATTGAAAAAGGAAAGAATTGTTAAAAAAATGGAGTAGAGAAATGAAGAAAATAATAGAAAAATTATAAATTATTTTTATAAAGACAATTGAATTATTAAAAATGAGAAAAAAATAAATTAAGAAAAGATAGTAAGAAAAATAAAGAAGAAATCGCAAAAAGTTATTGCTGAAAAGTGTAGGTAGGCAGGGAGTTTAGGATAAGATAACAAAAAATAAAACGAAATATTCAAACAAAATTTATTTTTTAATTCATTTTGAATGCAACTATGTATCTAAAAAATTAGATCTCTATATATACTTTTTTGAATTCAATTTAGTGATACAATCAATAAAACTATTTGTTATATTATAGGAATTAATAAATTAAAATATTATATATTTTGGTTATTAAATAGTAATATGTTTAAATTTTATGTAACGCGCATTCATTTAATTAATAATTTTTATTTTAGTTTTACTTTTTGTTTTATAACTTAACCTATTAATTATATAAACAATAAAAAAGTAATAAAGTGATTTAGAACAATTTTTTATTAGTTCCAAGCTCTCTTCTTCACTATTAATATTCTGTGAAGTGAAAGAAATGATATAATAGTGAGATATAAATTAAGTTAATATAATATAAAATATGTTTGTATTGAGTTAAATATTTAATATGTTAATATCGAACACGAATGAATTAAACAAACAACAATTTATGCTACACAACACCTAGTATAAATAAAATAATTATATATTTAAATCTATATTTAACAGTTACAAATAAAATAAGAAGGAATAATAAAATTAAATAAAAATTTAAGAAAAAATAACAATTTTTGCTTTTTCGAATGGCAATCTTCTTTTTTTGATTGACATATATCCTTTCCTTTTGGGAATTTTCCTTATTAGATTGACACTTTTCCTTTTATGATTGAACCTTTTCCTTTTTTGATAGGACCTTTTCCTTTTATAATTGTAACTTTTCGTTTTTTGATTGAAACATTTTCTTTTTTGAAATCCTGTAAAAATAAAATAACTAATTTTTGATTTGATAATTAAAATATATTTAATAACTTATAATAAAAAGATATATTTGCAAAACATTGCCAATTTTGATTAATTTAAATTTACTGCAAAAAAAATCATAACCTTAATATTGTTTATAATAAAATATATTATTACAAAATAATCACTTATTAAAATTGTTATAATACAAGAATAAAATATTTCTATTATATAGCATATTAAGAAATTATCCTTTAAAATTAAAATATTATTACTTGCACACAAAATAATTCTCAATATTTTACTTTCAATTCAAAATAATCAAATTATTTTCTATTACACATATTTATAAATTATCAATTAAATTAAAATAAAATATTATTACCAAAATAATTCACTTTCAAAATAATCAATATATATTATATAGCATATTAATAAATATTTACATATTAAAATATTATCTACACTAGAAAATATTTATGATATTTTACTCTCTAAATAAAGTAGAAGTATATGGAGGAAATTGAAAGAAAAATGCGAAGATAAAAAAATAATTCCAAGAAAATAAGTTAATAAAATTTAAAAAAATTTATATTTTTAAAATTTTTTTATATTAATATTATTTAAAAAATTTTTTTGACACCTATAACCCTTGGACTAAACATAAAGGTCCTATTCCGATTCACATCTCTGGTATTTTTTGTTTTAAAATTGGGAGTTCAATTTTTTTATAAGAAGATAAAGTCTGATTTATATAATTTGTATTATTGCTAAAAATAGAAGTAATTTATAATTTAAAGTTTAAAAAATAAAGTTAATTTTTTGGATATTTGAATCAAAAAGAAAGAAAGAAACAAAATATATGTTAAAATAATTTAATACCTCTAATTCAATGTTGTTTAGATCAATGATTTTGGACGAAGTATTAAACAAAAATTATCTAATTCTTGGATATAAGTGGATAAATTAGGCTTGATTAGCTGCAAAATTATACAAAAAATAAAACTTTTTAACATTCTTTTTAAAGTAAAAAATAATATCATTTTTTTTTCAATATTTATTAAATTTTACTTATTTTTCGTTTAAAGATTGTTGGTTGTAAACATTTTTAGGGAGAGGTGCTTGTGTCGGTATTAATATTTTATTAGTTTAAAATGTCTTTTAATAAATGAATTTTTGATGAGAATTCCCTCACTCCCCCTTAAGCTAAGCCTTTGTCATTCTCTAAGAATTACTTATTTATTTTTATAACAAATAATATTTTATATTATTTAAAAATATATTAAGAAATTTTTTTATCTTTATATTTTAAAATATAATAGATTTGAATTCATTATATATTTTTTAAAGATTTTATTTAAAAATAAATTATATATAAAATTATTTACAATTAAAAAAAAATTTATGATGAATATTATATTTGAACTTGATTACGCGAAGAGTTTCTATATGATTTAAGGACACATGGAGATATGGAGTAGAAAATTGACACTGCACGAGTAAATAGTTTAAAAATACAAACATATTTTAATCGTAATTACATTTTTATCAAGTCTCCTATAATGAGAGAAACCGATTTTATATAATTTAATTATACCATTTTTTAGCCTTCTAAATATAAAAAACATATATTTCCAGCAACTTCTTTATCAAGATACTACTACTTATAAAACTAACTAACCCGTTGGCATGCTTGTAACATATATATAATTTAAATCCCGATAAAAACATCAGAAAAACCCCCAGAAAAAATATCTTGAACTCCCAGAAATTTTTCTTTATGTTTATCAAATTTACTAAAGTCCTAATTATAAAGGCATCGTATTATTTACATTTTAATAAATACACTCATCTTTATAAGGTATAGACAAATTATATTTTTCAAAACCAGAATAAGACTCATTTTAAGTGACTGCTTAGACATCAAGTTTTTATACATAGCTTGGCATCAAGCAACACTTCCCTCCAAACATGAGGGTCTTTAAGATCCTCACTCTCGATTTTAATTTTTGCCATCATTGCTAGCCACCTACAAGCATGTAGATTAATTACCACATCTGTCAGTCCACCACCTTTTTGAATACAGCTAGGACGGAGTGGTCAAAATCCATCATAACCACAACCATATTTTTGATCTCTGTAAATCAGAAGGATTGAGATCTACCACGGGAAAAACTCAGTTGATTACTTTATTTTGAGTCTTTCACCTTTGGCTAGATCCACATTCATCAAACTTATCAAGGATCGGGGATATAAATTTTTAGATGTTATTCCATCTAGTAATCACAAACTTGATTTGGACTGCCGCGAATTCAGCTATGTTCTATGTAACAGGTTATATTTTCCTTTCTCATTACTGTATAAATGCAGCAAATGTTATAATGATGATGACAATTATGGCGCTGCACCCTTTACATTCCAATCGTAATCCCGATAGGCAAACCCGACACTCGAGATGCAATCAAATCATATCTCTTTCACTTAGGTCAGCTGGTTTACCTACCTCATTGGAGCCTTCTGTTCTTTTTTCCGATGGTAGTGCAGATGGAATAACACTAATTCCATGGTCACATTAAAAGTTTATAATATGGGATTTTTCTTGTCTGTAAACGAACTCCCATTCTAATTTTAACAAAAACGATCTAAATAGAACGCAAAATTTTAAGATGGCTAAAAACATTGCTAATTCTTCTAATGTAACAATCATTTGCTCCACTTTATGATGATTTGGCTAGAAAAGAATTAAAGATGTCGTCGGCATAATCAGGAAAATTTCCGAAGAGCCTAGTGAAAGCTTTTATTTAAGGCAGAGGATCGCAGGCCATTCCTAAGCCTAATTATGTTTGTTTTATTTCCTATCTTTCCTGATGATTAGGGCTTATTTTTGAATAAACTGGTTTATGTAACTATAATATTTTCTTAACAGTATTATATTCGCTTTTATTTATTTTGTATTTTCTATTAATTTATTATTTGTGTTCGATATTGCAATTTTGTTATCATAATTTGTTCTAACCATTATATTCTTATAATAAGGTGATTATATTTATATTCATACATTTTATAAAGTATAAATGTTGCCGGGGCGGCCCAGTGGTGTAACCGAAAGTTTTAGATTCAATCCTGGTAAGGAACTAAAAATTTTGGGTTTTTCTACGATGACGGATGTGTATAGATATATGATATGATAAATTTCTGAGTTGAGAAATGCCACCTCGGTCACCGGCAGTCTTTGACAGCCGGGTAAACCAAATAAGACAGCCAGCTTAACTCGTGGGTCATTAAAGGATGATAACGATTTCATGGCCAGCACCAGTTACCAAGCTACAATGGACTTGATAACAATACTCAGGTGGGAGATCCATCGGGTTGATACTCCGGTGGGAGAAATGGAATCGATAAGAATACTCCGGTGGTATATCTGCCGATTTAATACTTCGGTAGGATATCTGTCGATATTGATATTTCGGCATGAGATCAAGATACTTTGGCATTGATAGCGATACTACGGTGAGAGATCCAAATGGAATCGATCAGAAATATAAATTAGATAAAGATAGATAACATGAGTAATAAAGTGGAGAGAGATATTGAAGGAGCTTACCACCAGAAAAAGGGAAAGCTAAAAAGAAAAAAAATTTATAAAAAATCATAATATGTAAACCAAAAAAATATTATATAAATATACTTTATTAATAAGCTAATTTTTTTAATGGCCTATATCATTGAAGGTTACTAATATATCCTAAAATATGCCTAAACAAATTAAAATGGTGTTCAAAGTATTATTGGGAAAAAAAACCCCGTAAAATTACCTTTGTAATTCTTATTTTGTGAAAAGTATTTGATATAATATAATAAATACAATATCCATCCACAATTACGATATTAAGTAAACTAAATTTACTAAATTTTATAAGATACATTTATTTTATTGGTAAATCATCATTATTTATATAGAAATTTAATTTCTAATAATTAAATAGATTGACATCGAATAATGAAAGAAATTGCTCTTATAAAATCTGAAGGCTTCGCACCTCATCTTGAAAAATATTACATAAATAGGAGAAGGAAATAAGAAAGAGTAAGTCTAGGGAAGGCACTTGAGAAGAGACTGCTGTTAAAGTGAATGATTTTTTTATTTTTAGAGAGTTTTAAATATGACAGATATTTTAAATAAAATTATAAAAAAAAATATTAAATCACTAAATTTACAAAAATCTATCGAAGAAATAGAATTTTGAACATTAATAAATGTATAATTAATATTTAATATGTTTAATGTAAAATATTTTATATATTTTATCCGAAAATTTATAATTTTTAATTATATGTAAATAGTTGTCTACAGAGTGCAAAGACCGAATAAATAATAAAATGTTATATATGAAATTTAAAATATAAATAAAATTTTTTCTAATTTTTTTTACATGTTAGCGTCAATATGTTTTACAAGCAATGTATTATTTTTTTCTAGTCTAAATCGTTTTTAGCTAGTCTTTTTAAATTTATAATGTTGATTTTACCAGAAATGTATTCCAGCATGTTTAGAATACCTATCTCATGAATTCTAGATAATTTTACCAATAACTTTAAATCATTTATAATTTATATATTCTGAAGATATAGTCATTTCTAATTAAACTGGTGCTATTGTTTAGAATAGTTATATTTTATTTTATAAATTTTGTGTTTTGGATAAAATATCGTTGATAACATGCTTCCCTTGTTCAAAATCGCAAAATATGTCGAAAGATGGTTTTGCTAAATCAAATTAAAGATTGCCTGATTAATTAGTGAAGTATAATTTAAGTTATTGTCTTGTTTTTTATCATTATTATCAATATAAACTTATTTAATTTCAAAATGATTTGATGGCTTAAAAGCCATTTTATATTCATAATTAAAATTAAAATATTTTCCAAATCATTTATTCAATCCAATTTCTTAGCAAATTATAGGGGAAAATGTAAATAGATTTGATGTATATCATGTATATCTACTTTATATAACTCTTCACAATAATAATAATTTTGGCTCCGCACATTATCAATAGCTGTTGCTAATGGATACATTACTTAAGTATCAAGATATTCTATGTCAATATCTTTATTTTATATTAATTTTTCACGCAGTTTTGTAAGATAAGATCTTAATTTTAATAAAAACACAACACTAACGTAAAGAGAATTTTTTAATAGTCTAGGATGTAAATTAAATATATGACATTAATTATATAAAATTTAATATATCATCAAATAACGAACAGATTTTCATTTAAAAGAGATATATAAGTACAGATGCAAGATACTTTTCAAAATGCATAAAATTTATCTTGTATTTAAGATGGATACTAGTTGCTATATGCCTAACCTTGTTACGAACATACTTAATATTTACAATTGTACGGAATCAACCAAGGAATAGAAAATAATACTTTAATTTTTCATATTGCATTATTATTCAAATAAGAGTTATGAAGTATTACGACACATATAGATGATAATCAGAAATTTTATTAGTGATACTTAAATAAATTTAGATATATTGTTTTCGTGATACATTTGCATAAAAATCACCAAAAATAAAAATTTGGAAATATTTAAAAAAATATGTTAATTTATCCGAATTATTTTTCAAACAACATTTTATTATTTTTTTCAATATTTTTAATTCCATATTTTAAATTTTATTATGTTGTATTTGGTTATAGAGGAACGATATGAAGTAAGTTTCAGCAGGGCTATAATATGATTCCTGACGGAACTAATACTTTAAACCAATGTCTTGAATGAGGTTAGGATAAACTCAAAATGTGAGGCATTTATGGATAGACTAGTTAATTTTTATATGATGACCCTAGGAAGTAGTGTTGTTAAACGGCTCATTTTGAGCCGATTTTTTAAAACGGCGAACTCAATATTTTAGCCAGAAAAATATTGCCTAAGTCTCGAGATTTCGATAATATATGCTTGGACCTTTGTTCCTTCTGTGAGCAAAATCTTGAGGCTTGCGTAATATTTTTCTGGACGAAATATTGAGTTAGCCGTTTTTAAAAATCGGCTCAAAACGAGCCATTTAACAACATACTAGGAGGACTAAGAGGTCAATAGCATCCATAGACTTGTTTAATAGGAACTCCAAACATCCCTTTGCTACGATTCCTTCCGCAAATGATGTTTATTAAGTCTTTTAACTAATTCATATTTGGTAGGTCTACAATAAACGAATACGTATGAATCGAATAATTTACTATATGCGGGCATAATAAAATTTGCATATTTGTAATTGATTCGAATTATTTCAAATAATTCGTTTTTTTGATATCAAAGTATCAAATATTTCACGTTTAATTTTTAAACAGAAAAAAATTATTAATTTAAACATGTGATCAATTTGCTTTGCCCCACTCTTTTTTTATCTCTGCATATAGACGTTTAAAGTACAATTATCGGACTGCTATGCATAAAAGTATGTGCGACGTGTCCACAAACCTTTATAGGATTCCTCATTCTTAATTTTTTGACAAACTATATTCTTTTAGATGGTAACCCTGAATTCACATTTAGCGCGAATACGCGTTGAAGTAAACAAAATTGATATAAATATTATAATTTTAAATACATTTTTGTATATTTAGCCGCGAATTCGCGCTAATTGTGAATTCAGTGTATTGAGAAATACCTAGTAATTCTGTTGAATCTTTAACCTTAGAGGTATTAATATTATAAACTACTTATTACGTAAATTCATATCAATTTAATGACAAGCTAGTTTTTAAGAAAAAGAGTTAAATCGTTCGTTATACATACTTTTACTTTAAAATTTTTTTTAAAAATGAGTTCATAAATAAATCAAAATTATTAAAAGATTTTATCAACTTTTATTTAAATTTGAAAGCATTTTATTAAAGTTTATAATAGGAAAGAAGTGATTAATTTATCCTTTTCTTAAAAAGGAAATGATAAAACTTGTTCAGTTTTTAAACCTTCAAAATTTTACTTTAGTTGAAAATTTGATGAAATAAAATTTCAATTCCCATTTTTAATTAAACGATTAACTTATAATAGCCTTGAGTTTAGAACTAATTAATACATTAAGTTGTCAGCAATATTTTTTTATAAAAATCAAAAAATTCATACCATTATAATTTGTATTAGAAGGACTATTTTTGAAGAAATATTTTTGAAGGATTCTTTTTACCTAATAATTTTGAAAATTTATTGATTAAAATTCACTTGCTTTAAAATAATAAATCTAATTCGCAATTAATTATAATTAAAAAATTAAAACTATTTATATAGTTATCTAACTTTTAAATATCAAACTTTATATTTATATATGAGAATTAAATGGTTATAAGAAATTTTTTTTTTAATATTGAGGGCTTAACTTTTTCAAAAGGAAGGTAAGAATTTATAAAAAAAACTCTCACCTAGTTAAAGATATCTTGATATTTTAAATAAATTTCGTTATAATAACATTCAATTTATACTTTTGGGATTAAAGTAAAGAAGCTGCAATGATTAATAAATAATAATCATTTTTATAACTATACACAAATACTTTAAAA